AAATAAATAAAGATGAGGAAACAAGTTCTTGGAGGATGAGTACCTTACCTAAAGTCAGTGCCTTAAGAGTTTGAATCCAGAGCCCTCTGCCTCCCAATCTGTGCGGTTTCCATCAAAGCACCCTGCTTCCCCAGTATGCCAAAACTGAGCATGCACAAAACTGAGTTGAATTAATGCTAATCCAATATATAGCCCATAAACTGCCTTTGGGAATAATCCTTGGTACCTGCTTCTTTCTTGTCAATATTCTCATTCTTGGGGCACCTGGGTGGCTCAGTCTGTTAAGTCCCAGGATTGAGCCCCATGTTGGGCTCCCTGCTCGGCGGGCAGTCTGCTTCTCCCTCTCCCTCTACCCCTACCCCTGCTCCTTCTCTCTCTCGCTCTGTCAAATAAATGAATAAAATCTTTTAAAAAATTCTCATTCTTAAGATAGGACAGAAATAACTCCATTAAAGGTTCATTTAATTATGGATTACTTATACCATGACTGTGTAAATGATGAGTGACATTCAAACAGCTAAATAAAATCCACTAAAATGGTGAACCTTCCTTAGCCTGTGTCCTGAGTTAAATCCTCTGTTGTTCTTACAAAGGACTATGAACTGTTGCCCAATATGATTATCCTGGTTCTTTTCTGAATTATTAAGTCCCTTGTCACCACTCCTCTAAGCATCATCTCCACTGCTACCTAATGCTATTTAGTGTGCATGTCCTGCCATTCCAAAATGGTAACCTCTGAGCTCTTGCAATCTCTAAAGTATCTTATCCAGGAATAAACATAACTAGCATTCAACAACTGCTTGACACTTTGGATTTGAATGATCCAAAGCAGCTATTAAACAACACGGTTTTTCCATTCTTCAAGAGCAGTCCAGTAAAAGATGTGAAAGAACCTGAAGAAAGCCTGAAAGACCAAAACAAAGAAGTCAAAGAAGGACTAGCTATGAGGAACTTTTGAGTATTTAAAAAAAAAAAAGGGCGGGCGGGGATAAGCCAAAGTGAAGCCTCAAGAAACAAGGAGTCTGGCAAGAGCAAATGAGAAAAAGAGAGGGAATGGTGTTGGGGGAGCCAGACAATATTTAGAGTTTGAAATGAAAGGGCAATTCTAGAATTAAGGTGGGTTTGGATCTGAAGCCTTACCAAGTTTCTCTGGCTAAAGAGCCTGGGTGGCAGTCTGTGGGTGGCCCACACTTAAGAACACACACAAAAAAACTGGACACAGATACAAGTGGTGAGAAGTGTCATGCAGCAGGGAGTGGCAAGAGTCAATCCTAAATGCAGTCATTTGGGTACAATGTGCCCTTCAGAGAGGGCATGGTGACAGCATGGGCTAATTTACAGAGCCGCCAGGGCAATAACTCAGAAAGCAATACTGCCTTCTCACAACAAAACGAGGCAGCCCCAGAATGTTTCATGGTGGTAAAAAGCTGCATTACAGCACACTGAGATCCCGGAACCAATGAAAGGAGACAAGTTTACCAAAACGAGTCTTGACACAGAGTACGTTTCTGGCAAATATGTTATTATGCACTCATTCTACTCTTGTCCTGGAGAAACTATTTAGTTTCCTTATATGGCCCTTCTCTTCAGCTCTCTCCTATAAAATAACTAATGTCTTCTTAGAGAAACAAAGATAGAAAAGAAATAGAACTGTTCCACTCGTCCCCCCCTCCCCTCTTCAGTTCTTTTCAGGGAGCTGAGGAGAAGCACACATCCTTGAGAGTGTCAGAGAATGACCCAGTTTTTGAAATCAGTTTTAAAAAACTGAAATGACTTCTAGAGAAATCTGTATTGATGGGGGAAGACAAGGGAAATACTGCAAATGTCTACACTGGCTGACAGAATTAAGCAGCCTCGTTTAAACACTGACATTTTTCTTTAATCCCATTAAAACTTTAATTTTAGTAGTACTAGAACCAAGATACAATGTGCGTGCGTGGGTAGACTCTCTACATGGCATACAAAAATCAAAGAAAACACCAGCTGTCTTCTTAAATGACAGTCAACTTCTAATGTTATTCCTCTTCTTAAAATTCTTCAATTGGCCCTCACAGACTTCAAATAAAATCCAAACTCCTTAGCAGGACCCCAGCTTCATTTCTCAATACATTTCCTCCCTACTCCCAAAGTCTACCAGCCATTTCCCCCAAAGCCATGCTCCTCTGCCTAGAAAATCTTCTCCATTCCTCTTTGCTTGGTAAAATCCTACTCATCCTTCAAATATTTGCTTAGCTTTCTCTCTTCCAGAAAGAAAAGTCCAGCCTCCTGAGCTCTCAGAGAACCCTGTGCTTATTTGTCACTGCATTCACCACAGGACGTTATAATTTCATTTTTCTGGCTTGTCTCTTCCACTAGATCCTGTAGACAAGCATAGAACTCTACTGTATATAGCCTCTTGTGCCCAGGTCAGAGGCCTGACACATAGTAGATACACAAACACGTTTTCATGAATAGTAAATACAGCCAAGGAATCTCACTTTCTTTCAAAAGAAAAGTATCTATTCTCTAAAATGTTTCATAAAATTGGACAATTATCATCTCCGTTTGATCACATTTATAGCCAGAATGATGACTTTGAAAGAGTCTAACATCTGGCTCATATCCTTGATAACATTTCGGAAAGCTGGCAGCTGACTGCGTCATTTCTCACATCAGGAAGGAAGCCACCAATTATAGAGCATCTACGTGCTACTACTTGTATATCAAATTTATGCTACATATATACACATTTCTTCAGTCTTGACAATCCATCGTACCTCGTTTTAGCTGTATTTTGACAAAGAACCCAAGGCTTAGAAATGTGCCCAAGGTCACATGGCTAGCAAGTGATGAAGCCAAACTAATACAATGTGCAAGATCAGGACTACATTTTCTCCTAAACGAACTAAAAATTGATGTTGGCTGAAACTAAGATTTCCCGTGGGGTTGAAAAATGATGAAGGCAGCAAATAACTTGTTCATCTCAGACTACGGGTGTGCAGTTTTAACAATATAAACTGAAAACCAGCCTTGTTCCCGTTCAGAGTTGAGATAACTGCACACACTCCTGCCATCCTGTCAAGTAAGAGCCTCAGCAGACATTCCATTTGAAGCACTCTTTTAACACGACTTCTCAAATTTATTTAACTCCTGTGGAGAACATGGTAGGGTTTTGTATAAGAAGAAAAAAAAGGCCACCACTCTACTCCTTCCTAAGCCTGGTAGGCAGCTCAGAGTTTAGGCAGCCAACTGGGTAGAGTGATCACAGGATTTGCATCTTCCTTTCAAAGGTGGAACTCCGACCACCACCAGGCATTTTCCAATTCAAAATTCAGTTTTACTAGAGCTGCCAGCATAATTAAAAAAAAAAAAGACTAGACTGATGCTTTTTCTTTAATTTTCCATTCTTATTTAGAAAAAGGACTAGAGGCAATGACAAAAATAACCATTTAAAAAAGATCACTCTCCAGAGGCTTTTTTGTAAAGATAAGTCAAGGCTTTCCATCCTTTTACATTTTAAAAAAGAAAGGGCTGTGGAATATGTCAACCTTTACTCAGCTTGCTACACAAAGCTTCTGCCTTCTCAAGTCCTAGACATAATGCCAGGACTCATCTCCCAAACTTCTGGTCTCAATCAAGTCCACACAGTGCCTGGCCAGAGAGCCCTGGGTGACGACTGCTGAAGACATTCACGTGAATCCAAGGTCAGTCGCAATCCTAACCTTAAACAGTGGACGGCTGACTGCATCATGACATACGCAGGCTAAGTTAAACAGCCCTCGTCTGTCAGTCGTGAGTAACTCCAGCAGCCGAGCCTGCGTTCCTTCGCCCGGAACTCACTGTGCAGGATTCACCACCACACCCCCTCAATCCACTGAGCTCACTATCCAGCCATAATGAAAACTGCTTAAAAGTTATCACTGGAATAGATGATTTTCCATAAGTAACAAACGAAAATGTTTTATTTGCTGTTTAGTCCTATTAACAACTCTGTCTCTCCATCTTTTCTTGTGGCAGCCCGTATTTTTAGGCAAATGGGAGGGTTAAAAATACAAATGAACAACCTCTGTATAAAACTGTGTGCTTTATCTGCCTCATTACATTCCTGGAAAATCGCCGTTTCTGAACATTCAGGTTCCTCGAGAAGGAGAAATTTTTCTTAACTATTGTACTCTGCATGTGGAAAGGGATTTCTCTTTTTAGCCTCCATTTCATTGCCTGGGTTTCACTCTCTAGGTATTGAGAGTGGGAGAGGGGAGGACACAAAAATCACAAAGAGCAGTGTAAAGCATGCCCTTTGTCAGCAACATGGCAAGGCCTCTACTGTCATCAAAGCTGACACTAAGTAATTTCTGATGGAGTTGAATGTACCATTACATTTCTATTTGTGCTCTGCCTGAAGCTTTTCCCTACCTACTAATTGCAAATGAAGGTCCAGAGAGCTTTTGTGAAAGGGGGGAGAACACAAGCAATGTGCTGGTCTGTAGCCAGGAGTCAGTGTACTTTATAACGGAGGAAGAGAGGATTAGAGGATTACAGGGAGATTTTTGTTTCAGCCTTTAGTCCAACCAAGATTTAAAAGACTTACAGAAAATGGCTTCATACAGAAATATGGTAGTGGGGAAGGGATTATAGGGGGAGTGGTAAACATGTCCAGTAAAAATCAGGGATAAATGAAGACCCACACAAGTCCAGAGAATGCAAAGGAACAAGGAAGAATACTTCCAGAGCCGTAAGTGCTCAGGGCACAGGGTGGGTAGGGCCCAATGAATTAGCAACTAAATGGCTTCAGTGATAATTCTGAAACCTGTTCCAATTTATTTTTGGAGTGAATTCTTCTCCAGAACAGGTCAAAGATTGTGCTTTAAAAAATGTCCTTAGAACACAACGGCTTCTTAAATATTCTTTTGCCTCTTGCTTCCAGGTGCTTTCCCTTTGGTTAAAAACCAGAAACAGTATAAACCTCACAGGATGGAAGAAGTCTTTTGATAGAGGCAAGGTGAGGCACAAGATGAACTTACACAGTAAGCGAGAGTCTGTCTGTCTTGGTCTTCTCCTTGGACCACTCCATGTCTCTGACTTAACAGAGTCGGCAGTTCACTTCCTCTGGAAGAAGCCAGTAATGGACACTTGTCTGTTGGCTTTGCCCAGAGCAGCAGTCCCTTTCTTTGGGCCCTTTCGTTCTTCTTTGGGTTCTTTTTTCACAGTCATAGTAGAGGGTCTGTGTACAGAGGAGGTCTTCATCTTAAGCTCCTCTTCACTATCTGTGCAGGATTCACTCTCGTAGACTTTTTCAGTCACTGGCAGAATAAGGAAAAAATGGGATAGGAATGGGTCGAGTCATTTAGAATACTACCATTAAGAGAAGGATATGTCTTGTTCACTCTGATTCCCTTAGATCCTCTGATAAAGGCAGGTGTGCTCACCTAGTCCTGAAGCTTTCTCCCATTGGGAGATCACATCTGGCCACAGGTAGGAAGTATGTATCCTGAGCTCACACAATCTCTAGTTGGGGTTCAGAAACAACATTTGACTTTACTGTCTCATGCTATGTCCCATGCCTTTCAATGGGCCCTTATCCTTTGATTGCCCAAATTCTGCATTTGGGTCCTGGTCTATGCTAGCTAACTTCTCAAACTCTGCACTGGAACTGTCTATATCTCAAACACCTACTTCTACCTCCATGCTTTGACTAACTTCTTCAGTTTCATTTCCCTGACCAACAGTGCCTACCTATTTCCATTGTTGGTTTCCCTGGCCCTAATTTCTTCTCTATTTGCCAGTCCCCATCCTGTCCAACTAGGCTCACAGTTACAGACCCCCTTGGCTAGCTCTATCCTGATATCATCCACTCTGCACATCCTAAGTACAAAGAATTGTAGATTACTCAATTGTTCAGTTCTTAGTTCTGAATGACCCAAGACTTAGTAGTGGTCTACATCATGAAGATAACTGCCTCAAGCGAATTCAATCATATGACAACCTTGATAGTTTTAAGTAAGGACAGTGGTAAAATGAGAAACAAAGTTACCAATTCTCTGAACTCCCTATCAGCCAAAGGCATAATTTGCCTTTTCTTATACCAATAATATCCACTGATCCCTTCCCAACGGAAACTTTGAAAAGTGAGCAGTTAGTACAAAGATGCTGAAAAGGGCACAGGCACTAACTTCGGACAATGATGTCACAGAACTGATGAGGGTCTCTTCAGTATGACTGCAGTGCACAAACCAAACACGAGAAACAGTATAATGCCACCTTCCTGTGACTTGAGAGAGCTGCAGCAGCTGTATTAACATCTAAATTCTTTCTCAGCCCTCCTGGTTGCAGCAGGAGGATGAAGAGAAACAGTAAAGGAAAACATCTCCTCTTCACTGAACACAGTAACCTAATATGCATAATAAATGCTCAAGCGATTGAAGTGAAAGGTATTTTTCCCATTAAAGAACAATAACAGTTTTAAGCACTTAACTACTGATTGTTCTTTCTAATAAAATATATTAGTCAAACTGTTCTAGAGGCAGTGGCTTTGGAATCAACATATCTGCATTCTAACATCTATTCTGCCACTTACACTTCTCAAACTTTTGATGTGCATCAGAATCACCTGCAGGGCTTGTTAAAACAGATTGCTGGGTTCTATTTCCAGAGTTTCAGATTCAGTAGGTCGGGGATAGACCTGAGAATTTGCTTTTCTAACATGTTCCCAGGGAATGCTGGTCTGCTGATCTGGGGACCACACTTTGACAATCACTGTTCTTTCCTCCCCTGTAAAATGGAGTAAGGTACGGAAGGTAAGGTACCATGGAAGGTACGGATGCACCTAGTAATCTTAGGCAAGTAACCTTCCATGCTATTTCCCCCCCTCACAATGGGAAAGCCATCTTGGAGGTCAACTGGCTATTGCCAGTGGAGCATCCCTTCTCCATATCTAATCCCATTAAGGTTGCATAATTAATGGTTCCCTCCTTAAGAGTTCCTAGGATTTGTCATTACTTTCACGAGCCTAGAATTCACTTTGCTGATTCCTGTCAACTTACAGGCTAAAAACACTGATAAGCTTTAAATATATATATAAAGTGTTCTCAAAGGCCTTATTACTCAACTGTCTTCCACAGACCAGTGACGTTAGAATCTCCCATGAGTTTACTAGAAATGCAGAATTTCAGGTCCTGCCCGAGGGCCTACTGATCTTCAGCAAGATCCTCAAGTAATGCATATACTCAGCCAAGTTTGAGAAATGTTGCTCTAAGATACTTAGGGAATTCCCATGGCATACCTATTAGTTCAGCAATTATGATCCCTGAATACCACCACCATCTCATAGGCAAATTGAAAAGCATTATGTAACTGGATTATTGGAACAAGCTTATGAGCTGCTATTTACTCAAAATCTCAAATTAGGAAAGTCTGAAGAGTCACATGCAGATATAAAAAAGAAACAACTTACTACTAGTTGGTGGTATAAGACTTGCTCCTTCATACATAAGGTGTATTTTGTATTCAAATGACAGCAGGTCTTTAATATTGAACTCCAACATCAATTAGCTCATTATTTCATTACTTATTACTGAAACCACTGGTTGTCTCATTGCCAATTCTGCGCAATGCATTGCTTGGGGGAGTTAAAAACCAGTCAGGGCAACACCAACAAAATTTCTTAAGCAGCACATTTGGTAAATACCTCGAGAGCTAAAAGAAGGATTTCTGTATTCAAAGCTGTACTACTTCAAACTACAGGACAAAGGAGATTTCAACTTAAAAGATACAGAATTTTTATTTTAACTGAGTAACCTGCAACTGTTCTGACCTGCCATAAAAAGAACCCAGTTTACATGGGTAACACAGAATTATTCTCTACTCAAACAACGTTTTGCTCTTAGAAATCCACCTTGTCTAGAAGTCTACCCCAAACTTATCTCAGGGGCTCAACTCCCCAGTCCCCGCAGCAAACTCACAGAAAGGGAAAGACCAGTTTTTAAAAACCCCATACCAACTCGGATCCAGCAGAGGACAGGGTAAGCCCCCTGTGCTGGTACACTTGGAATAGTCTGAACAGAGAGAGGAAAGCACAACTACTTTGTTGGTAACAGGAGCCAAGATTCATTAGGTTGAGCTTGGACTAAAAACCTTAAAAAAAAAAAAAAAAAAAAAAGATGCTATGAGAGCACAGTTTTCATTGTTGCATCCAAGGCTCTTAATAGTCCTATCTGGAGACTGGAGTGCAAAAAACCCACATCCCATACCTGGCCCAAACTTGAGTGCTGTGTTTTGAACAAAGCAATAGGTTATTAGCCACAAACTCCCAGTGAATGCTCACAATGATATAGCTGACATTTTTCTTTTGGGGTAGAAGGAGGAAAAAACTGGCAGTGATGCTTTTGTCTCTTAAATTTAAAAGAAAAAAAAAAAAGAACTTCAATAGTAAATATATATATCATCAACAGTCAAACCAAAAGGCTTAAAAAATACACTATTAAAAGACTGAAAGCAAACAAAACAAAAAATAAAAAACCAACCCTACTCAAAGTCTGGAATTCATAAGCTCACAAAAAATTTTGGCACTGAAAAGACAAATTTCCACATGTAAGGAATTTTATTCCCCAATCATATGCTATAATTAAAATGGCACAGGTGTTTTCAGAGGACTGGGAGGTGGGGAACAATGAGATGGAGTTCACACCAGCTCGAACAACCACATATCCTAGGAAAAGTGGATTCTTCAGAGTTGATCAATTTTTTTAAGACGAAAGTTTGAACCAGAAAAGGAAAATCAAGAAAGAAAAAATACTTCTTTAGGAGAGCAAGTGCCGCAGGAAGGGAGAAACTACAATTATGGGCTATCCAACTAACAAGGGGTTTACAAACCGAAGCCCACAACTCTTTCTAAACACAAAAGGACAGTATCAGGACTGGAGCATCCTATCGGGCTGTAAGTGCGAAAATCCCACAGAAGTGTGGGTTAACTGCGGAAGGGAAGGGCAAGCTTAAACAATGGCTGGGAAGAATCAACCTATAACTCAAAACCTAAATTCTAATTCCCCTCTAGGTCACCATAGAAAGCACATGCTTTTACCTAACATGACTTACAAACAGGCAACATAAAGGAAATGATTTGGAAGAGTCAAACCCCTCTGGAGAACAAATGGGACAAAATACCAAGAAGATTCTTGACACTCTCTTCAGAGTCTAATCATCTGTGGGGGCTTCTTTTCCACTATTCAAATGTATAAAACAACCATTGTAAAAAAATAAAAGTTTCTCAACGTCTGTAACAACATTTTAAGTTGGTATTATGGTTTCCATCTTGAAAGTGTGTTTTTTTTTTTTTTTTTTAAAGATTTATTTATTTGAGAGAGAGAAACATGGAGAGTGAGAGAGTACAAGCAGGGGGAGGGGCAGAAGGAAAGAATCTCAAGCAAACTCCCCACTAAACAGGGAACCTGACACTGGGCTCGATCTTATGACCCTGAGATCATGACCAGAGCCAAAATCGAGAGTCAGACGCTCAACCGACTGAGCCACCTAGGTGCCCCGAAAGTGCTTTTAAATGTTACCTCACCTGCATCTTAACTACTCCACATATAGGCAAAAATGGGTATTTTACATCCACTCCATAGATCAAGAAACTCCCCACCAGAGGTGATGTGACATCCAAGATCTCAAAGCGCATTTCTATAGCACATGGCCCAAACAAGCACCCACGTTCTGACTTTAGTTGTAGTGTTCTCTGCACTCTGCTACTCAGAGTATGCGCCACGGACAAGCAGCCTGGCCTCACTTCAGGGTGTCATGTGCACACTCAAGGGTAAGGAGCATTGCTCTGTAAGAGATTATGGCCTCTCTATGGTAATCATCTCTCTAGATTTGGAGCCAAAAACTCTTCTTACCTATGCAGCCTTCCTCATCCACAAAAGTTTTCGATTTCAGCACCCGCTTTCGTTTTCTTTTTTCTCCACTTGAGCTCTAAAAGATCACAGGAAGATCAGAGGTTACAACATTCGGTTGACCAATGTATGTACAGAGAAAAATAACAAAAGCTTTTTAATCTACAACAATCACCTTCCAATATTCCATGATGATAAAAAGTGGAATGAGGAACTCTACCCATTTCCTTTTAGGGACCAGTCCTACCACACAGACAAGTTACGTTCTTGTATATGCAAGCTATTTAGGAGATAAAAAGTAGCACGTTCAGCAAAGTACTGTGTTCATTCAGTCAACAAACTTTTGCTGAGTAGCACAGGCACCATGGTTAAAAAGACCAATAGGACAAGGACCTTAGTCGGGGAGACAGACCCCTGCAATCCACTGTAGTTAGGCCTTTAATGGAGGGGCTGTGGCAGACATTATGGGAGCACAAAGGGAATGCCCCTAAACCAGATCAGAAGTTTCCATGGCATCCCCACTTGCTATTTTATTTTTTTAAAGGTTTTATTTATTTGAGAGAGCACAAGAGGGAGGGAGGGAGGGGCAGAAGGAGAGGGAGAAACAGACTCCCTGCTGAGCAGGGAGCCCAACACAGGGCTTGATCCCAGGACCCTGGGATCATGACCTGAGCCGAAGACAGACGCTCAACCAACTGAGCCATCCAGGTGCCCCGATACTTGTTTTTTTTTAGACTTGACACTGCAACATTGCCCCATATAATTTAGTCTCACACACTATTACTAATACCAACGTCCTTTTATCTCCACTGGCCTTTCATCCATTTTCTCCTCAGCTAACGAAGAAATTAGTGCAAAAATTTAAATTACAGTTTAATACAATGACTTAAGAAAACTAAAGTCATAAAGGGAAAAAAAAACTTGTTAGCACCCTTCTCCTCAACTCTTCTTTATCTACACTAATATATGTAGACAAGGTGCAGATGAAGACCATTCAAAACTATTATTTCCCCATCTGTTGCCAGCTTTTCTCACCTTGCCCTTCCAGAAGAGTTTCTGAAGAGTAACAAATGTGCATAATTGTTTGTTCTATTTTCCCCACCCTTTGCTCTGATGCAGGCAACACCTTATTTTGTACAATTCCAACAGGAGCTGGGTAGCACAGCAGCCCTGATGCTGGAGGTCATGCAAACAAAACCGCTCCCAGGCCTCACCCCTGCAACCTTCCTAAGACTCTGCCCCTATAGCTGAACCCTCGCTTCAGGTAAGAGGCAATGCCCAGTCTGTAGTACCTACAGGAGAGCAAAATGAGACAAGAGCCATCTACTGGTATCGGTGAACTGTACAGCAGCAACCGATTCAGCACAGGAGTTTCAGGTTCTTGGGAGATAAAGGACAGATGGAAAGGCAACCATCCCAGTAAAGGTTTACCTTGACAGAAGGAGGCTCCGGTTCATTATTCGGCAGTGGTTCCGGAGGTGGAGAAGGAGGAGGAGGTGGGGATGGTGACTCAGCTTCATAATCCCCAGGAGAATCTGGTATGACTGAAATAATGAAACAAGCTTAGATAAGAGAACCGTGGCCCTATCTGGTACAACACCTCCAATGGCTTTTTAAACTTCCATGTCCAACAAAGGACATTTGCAAGCAGTAATTCATGACAACCAAGGGCTCTGCAGTTACATATCTTTAAAATATACATTTTCTTGGGGCGCCTGGATGGCTCAGTTGGTTGAGCATCCAACTCTTGGCTCAGGCCATGATCTCATGGGTCATGGGATTGAGCCCCATGCTGGGCTCTGTGCTCAAGGGGAGTCTGTTTGAAGATTCTCTCCCTCTGCCCCTTCCCCTGCTCACTCTCTGTCTCCACAGGTAGCTAAATCTTTAAAAAAAAAAAAAATACACATTTTAATTTTATACAAAGAAAACCAGAGAATTAAGAATTATTAAAGCTGGAATATACCTTAGAGATCATTTTTTTTTAAGATATATAAATTTTTTAAAAAAGATTTATTTGAGAGAGACACAGCGAGAGAGGGAACACAAGCAGGGGGAGTGGGAGAGGGAGAAGCAGGCTTCCCACTGATCAGTGGGCCCGATGTGGGGCTCGATCCCAGCACCCTGGGATCATGACCCGAGCTGAAGGCAGACGATTAACGCCTTAGCCACCCAAGCACCTCAACCTTAAAGATCATCTTAACTAAACTTTTTATTTTACAGGAGAGTCAGGATATGAAGTTGTTTTATTTTATTTTTTTATTTTTCCTAAAGATTTTATTTATTTTTTGACAGAGAGAGAGAGGGAACATAAGCAGGGGGAGTGGGAAAGGGAGAAGCAGGCTTCCCGCGGAGCAGGGAGCCCGATGTGGGGCTCGATCCCAGTACCCTGGGGTCATGACCTGAGCCGAAGGCAGACGCTTAACGACTGAGCCACCCAGGCGCCCATAAAGTTGTTTTATAAATATCCACTGATCATCCACCATGTGTCATGTATTCCACTTACAATTGTTTCATTTATCCTCACAACAACCCTAAGAAACAAATATTATTCACACATTACAATTGAGTAAAAAAGAGACTCAAAGAGGTTAATGAACTTGCCAAGGTCAGAGCTTACAACTGAAACAGGAAGTTTTCAACCCCAGTCAGTCTGATGCCACAGCCTTACTATTCCAACTATCCTGTGTTGCCTCACCATTCAGGGCAGACATTTTAAGATTAAGTGGATATAATTCTCAGATTATATCAAATGTTCCATCCCAGAGTCTTTGTGACTGTGACGTAAGGATTATTTGCAATCACCTACAGATGTTTGTTAGACTGAAATTTTCCAGCTGACCTTAAGAGCACAAACTTTGAAGGAAAAACTACCCTGAAACAGTCACAATTATAGCTCTAACAACTAAGACTTGCTCAATATTGTATAGGGCAGCTATTTCTAGTGATTGCCCATTGATGAAGTTTGCTTTGCTACAGTGAGATTAGCAGGAAAGAACACTTTTGGGAAGGCAATATTGCTCTGGAAGTGGTATCACCCGAGAAGAGAGCATCACCAGAGGTATCCCATCATTCCTGAACAGTTCCAGAGATAGTGGTTTGTATAAGGCTCATGAGAGAGGAAGTGAAAATCCTCAGCTGACCTATTGCTTAATCATCACAAAGAAATTGCTGGTAAAAAGACTGGGTAGCTGCTTAGCCTCACCTGCTCCCTGAACCTCCTGGCTGTATTCAGATTTTTAGCACAAGTCTTGGATCTGAAATTCTCCCAACTGATTAGGTCAGTGTTAAAAATTATGACAGTGGAGGGTTCAAGGCCAAATGACCTAAAGAGGTGAAGCAAAACAAAAGCCAGAACGAAACAATAAATTATACAGTTCAGTATGAAATGGGCCCCAAAACTTTATAAGCTCTGGGAAACAAGAGTCAGAAACATATGAGGAAAGTGGTCCAGCTAGTAACACAGCTCTGGGAGGCTAGAACATGACAGGAGCTCAAGTAAGCAAAGAAGTCAAACCACAGAACCAAGCTCCCATTTTTCTGAAGGTATAGCAATTAAGAAAGCTGTACACATGTTTTTCACGGGCAGGAGGAAAGTTTACATAGTGAGAAAGCCAAAGAAAAGGAATTTTGAGTACTCACAGTAATAAATTTAGGAGTTTTAATTCTATTTCCACTTCGGTAACCATGAAAATCCTAGTGGCACCCTCTAAGACCCCTCTCACTGAACTGTATGGAATTGTTTATCTAGATTCCCCCCGACTCTAACCTCCAGAGAGGCAGAAACATCACAATATCCCTGGCACTGAACACAAATAACAATATATATATATATATATTTTAAGATTTTATTTATTCATACGAGACACAGAGATACAGAGAGTGAGAGAGAGAGCATGAGCAGGGGGAGAGGCAGAGGGATGCTGAGCAGGGAGCCTGATGTGGGGCTCAATCCCAGAACCCTGGGACCATGACCTAAGCGGAAGGCAGACGCTTAACTATCTGAGCCACCCAGGCGCCCAACAAATAACAATATTTTTAAATAAAGGAAAACAATCATTTTCTGAACTACATTTGGGATGAGGGGCTTCTAGGTCAAGGAAAAGTCAGCATATACCTCCCTCTCCCTTCCACATCCACCCAAAGAGAATCATTACAATGATGACAAAGGAATGAAATGCTGTAAACCTGCCCCTTCACCCCCATCCCCACCATACCAGGGAAGAGAAAAGAAGAGGGAGCCAAGAACTTGGAATGAGTAAGAATTTTCAACAAATCCCCAAAAGATGGAAGGCAGATGGGAGAAAGTTGACAAGAGAAGCATCAGTCAATTAGATGAGTCAGATAGGAGAGGTTACTATCTATTACAAAACTTCTATTTTATCTGATTTTTCAAATTGTGTATCACTTTGTTTAAAAAAATGTTTTTATGTAAAATATTTTAAGAAAGGAAAGATAGGGAAAACAACTAGAATTTTCTGGGCTTTACAAACAATAATAATTCATTCACATAATAATCCCACAAAATCCCTATTCCTATTATTTGTTTTAAAAAAAATTTGCCCACATTCATATGCTAGAATCCATGTCTGCCTACTTTAGTCTTTACCATCAAGGCAAGCATTCTCCCTTGATGTATTTTTAGTGACATAAGCATAAGGAATGTTTCATACATTGGTGTAGTTTAAATATATTTGCAATGAATTTGCAGCTCTTCAGATAAAAGGTACTCAAATAGTGAAAGGTAACACTTATCCCAGGAAAACAACCTTTGTTGGTGCAGAATAAGAACTGTGGTAAAGGGGCGCCTGGGTGGCTCAGTTGTTAAGCATCTGCCTTCGGCTCAGGTCATGATCCCAGCATCCTCGGATCGAGCCCCGCGTCGGGCTCCCTGCTCGGCGGGGAGCCTGCTTCTCCCTTTCCCATTCCCCCTGCTTGTGTTCCCTCTCTTCCTGTGTCTCTCTCTGTCAAATAAATAAAATCTTTAAAAAAAAAAAAAGAACTGTGGTAAAACTAATTTTAAGGATCCAGTGATGTAACCACTGTTTAATCAGAGTTCTATGGCAGAGACAGGTAATTAGAAATCCTAGAAATCATTCATAGCTTCCTAGGAAATTTTTTAAACTACCTATCTGAACCTTTTAAAAAGAGGAGGGTCATTTGCTTAACATTCTCCATAAGCAACTGGCAAAAACTGAAAATGTTGGCAAAAACTTAAACATATCAGTTAAAACTATTTTTTCCTAGTAATGTAGACATTACTCTTAATGTGATTTCTTCCTGGGTCTGGCCTTTTCTTGCTTTACAGAGTACGTAGAACTGCTTAACGTGCTCATGCCTCTGCCAAGAAGAGAAACAAAGGAAAAGTCCCTTAAGTAGAGAGTTAAACATACGAAGTTGAACAGAACTTCTAAGAAGAGACTTACTACTGTTAAACACTTACTGAACACCTCCATAAAAAAAGTGGGGTGAATAGTAAGAAAACCTGCTATGTTAAGCACTGTCCCGGCACTGCTGATATATCTTATTTGATGTTCATAAAAAACCTACACAGTGTGTGACAACCTCCCCAATTTAGAAATGGAGAAATAAAGAAATGGAGAAGGTAAATAATCTGCCTAAAATCATACAGTAAGTGGAAGAGGTAAGATTTAAATTCAGGTCTGTTTGACTCCAAAGTCCCTGCCATTTCCTCCACTCCTGTTGCTCATCTGCTAATTTCCAGCTGAAGGCAGCATATTGAATAACATATATTGGTAACAAAATGGTAATAGGTTAGAGACAGTGTGAAGGTTTAAATTAAAGCTCATTGGCTTTGAGACAAAAAATTTAGGAATAAAATGGCAAAGGTTTATAAATTTAGTCAGATGCTAAAAATTATTTTTACTAGATAAAAAATCTGACAGCCTCTCATCTATATTATCTATTATTATAGATTGTCCACCTCTATCACATCTCTTCTCACTTCTTTCCAAATAACCCCACTCATATTTCTAATCACCCACAGGTATTATTTTTGTGGGCTAAGGATCAGAACTACAGAGAATATTTCAGAAGTATGTAATGAGTGCTCAATCAACCACAGTAATTCCTTGACTTAGAGTGGACTCCTTCACTAGAGTATCTAGTTTATCTTTTTAAAGTACATTAGGCTGATGGGTTGAAAGACTCTTCCAGAATCTTCCCCAAGTCCTTTTCCAGGTTGGAAATACGGAAGATTAATCCAATTAGCACATATTCCTGTTACTTCCTAATTATTTTCCCGTGTATCTGCACGGAATTCCCTCTATTTCTCCTCAATTCTTAACTGGTCAGAGTGATCCTTGATGGTTCTTGTTTCATCTACATGCTTGGGTATCCTCCTTTCAGTAGTCTTGGTCAAAGCATTTTGATAAATGACATGGAATGAGTATACAGCAACTGCCCCTCTGGGATGCTCACAATGCCCTATCCCTACCCATTACAGAGTCATTAAAAAACCCTAGCTCTGGTGGGCACTATACCTCTCATGGGATATCAGAGGCCATAAACTCCAACATGTAAGCATGGCTGTTAGGATCTAAATCCATGGAAGAGTCAAAGATGTACCCTCTATCATAGATTTAATCTCCTTGTACAATTTCTTGGGTCTGGTTCATTTCTTTTACATTACGATCATCTGTTTATATAATTAGCTTTTTCACTCATTTGTACATGTACAGTTGCTGAGTTGCTTTGGGGGAACCTCTGTTGCCATTTTCAGTTGTTCTTACAGCAGTTTCTGTTAAGAGGAGAGTCCAGCAAGTTTATTTTGTCAGCAGAATAGATTACTTTTTCTTTATTCTTCTTTAATCTCTTTTAGCATCAGTTTGTCTTTGTACCTTCACCTGATGCTGAATTCCTTTGGACTAGATCTCCCTAACCCCTCAAAATGTTTTATACCCAGTATGGCAAAAATTCATGGAGAACTGATTACAGAAACTCAAGCTTTTCACCACTGTTCTCAAAGCAGGGTAGAATTCATCTGGCATATGAGTTCAACAAAGGCATCTTTCTCTTTAACAGCCTCCTCTTTCTAGACACCTTCATTTACACATTTACACTCTTTGGGAAGAGATCTTGGCTCTTAGGATACTTGATATTATTTGAAAAGGCACATTAATTTTCCAGGTAAGAATCTTGCCCTTATTCTGTTTATCTTACAACAGTGCCCACAGCCTAATACTGAAAGGGTCCATGGCATCATTCCCTTTCAACAATGATACTATAGAGTCTTAATCTTAGCACAGTTTTACTTATGTAGTGTGGAACACCACCATACCACCAACACCCTTCATGTCTACAATATTACCCGTTTTAAAAGATTCACATGAAGGTGGGCGCCTGGGTGGCTCAGTTGGTTAAGCAACTGCCTTCGGCTCAGGTCATGATTCTGGAGTCCCAGGATCGAGTCCCGCATCGGGCTCCCTGATCAGCGAGGAGCCTGCTTCTCCCTCTGACCCTCCCCCCTCTCATGTACTCTCTCTCATTCTCGCTCTCTCAAATGAATAAATAAATCTTAAAAAAAAAAAAAAAAATTTAAAAGATTCACATGAAGGTAGCCAAAGGAAGATCTCCACTTCATTTTTTAAAAAGAAAAGCTCTTTGATAATATATATAATAATAATCCTTTTTTTAAAAAAGATTTATTTATTTATTTATTTGAGAGAGAGAGCTCAAGAGGGGGGAGGGTCAGAGGGAGAAGCAGACTCCCCGTTGAGCAGGGAGCCCAAAGCGGGACTCGATCCCGGGACTCCAGGATCATGACCCGAGCCGAAGGCAGTCGCCCAACCAACTGAGCCACCCAGGTGCCCAATAATAATCCTTATTCTCTTACATGTTCGTTATTTTGGCACATTACCAGAAAATGATGATTCTGGTCAAAAGACTAAAGTAGACTTTAATGGTGCTCTATGCCTCTCAACACTAGGATTGCTACTGTCATTGTAACCTATAATAAATTACTTTTTAACTCCTTAAGTATAGTAAGAATTGACCCATGCTACTGACTAAAATGTTTGTGTTCCCCCAAAATTCATATGCTGGAGCTCTAATCCCTAATGTGATGGTATCTGGAGGTGAGGCCTCTGGGAGGTAATTAATGGAATGAGATTACTGCCCTCATCAGAGACACAAGAGAGACGATTTCTCTCTCTACCACATGAGGATACGGCAAGAAGGTATCCTACAAACTAGGAAGAGAGCTCCCACCAGGAACTACACATCAGGCAGTGCCTTGATTTTGGACTTCTCAGTCTTCAGAACTGTGAGGAACAAATCTGTCTTTTTAAGCCACCCAGTGTATGATATTTTTATTATAGCAGGCTCACTGAGACAATCCCACTAGCCAAAAATTAATAGCAATGCCCACCTTCATCTTCACTGCTATCAGACTCAGGAAGTTTGATTCGTCTCCTCTTTTTCTTCATATTTTCAGTTTCTTTTGTCTCATCATCAGATAACTCCACTCGCTTCCCCCTGTTGGCATCCAGGAATAATTTAAGCATGTTACACAAAATAAAAATATAAGTATTTACATGCTACTATGAGTCTTGCTTCATAACCCATGGTCTTAATTCCAGAGGACAGAAGAGTCAAAATAGACCAATAAGGATTCTTTTTAAGGACACTCTGCTAACTGACCACAACTAAGTCACTGAATGGGTTGACCAGAATTAAACATTTTTCTAGCTCTTTATATTGATCATTGGAAGCTACTTACCAGCTCATCAAGAATCATTACAAATTCCTACAAATTCCTTCTTACTTCTCCTATTGGCCTTTCAACCATTCAACAAGCATAAAATAAGCAGCTACTAAGTAGAGGCTCTTGGCTAAACACGGAGGATGAAAGATGAAGAACACTGTTCTCAAGAAGCTCTGGCAGGAGAAATAAATAGATATAAACACCACCAAATATAAGACAATGTGATAGATATTACTGGACAAATAAAATGTTATGGGACAAGACTCTTACTTGAAAACTGAAAGCTAAATGGAAGTTTATCAGATAAAAAGAGAAGACAAAGATATTAAAGAGAAAAAAACAAATATTTTAAAGAGAAAATATGGGCAAAGGCATAGACCTAAGACCTTAACGTGATTCTAATGACATAATAAAAAACCTAGACTTCATCTTGTCATTAGTTAGCTCCTCTGGATACTCTACCACCCTATTCAAATATGTATGAGATATAGTTTTTATCTTCAAGTAACTTATTTCTTATGTAACTTTAAATATCAACTTATTTTTCTACCTCAAGCTAGAAAAAACAAACCTCAAATGAGTAGGAAAAAAATAATAAAGAGCAGAAATCAATGAAATAAAATAGAAAAAAATTAACAAAGCTGAAAGCTGTTATTTTGGGGCAAAAGATTAACAAAATTAATAAACCTTTTTTTTTTTTTTAAAGATTTTATTTATTTATTTGAGACAGAGAGAATGAGAGACAGAGCACGAGAGGGAGGAGGGTCAGAGGGAGAAGCAGACTCCCTGCCGAGCAGGGAGCCCGATGCGGGACTCGATCCCGGGACTCCAGGATCATGACCTGAGCCGAAGGCAGTCGCTTAACCAACTGAGCCACCCAGGCGCCCTTAATAAACCTTTTTATAAGCCTGATTTAAAAAAAGACAAAACTACATATTACCAATATTAGCAATGAAAGAATGAAGGAATCTGTAGTGATAAGTACAGATTCTATAGATACTCAAAGAATAAGACTATATTAGTAACTTTATGCCAATAAACTCAACAACTTAGATGAAATAAATTCCTTTAAAAATATAACCAAAACTGGGGCGCCTGGGTAGCTCAGTCAGTTAAGTGCCTTCGGCTCGGGTCATGATCCCAGGGTCCTCAGCAGGGAGTCTGCTTCTCCCTCTGCCTCTGCCTGCACCCCCCTCTGTCAAATGAGTAAAATCTTAAAAAAAAAAAAAAAAAAAATATATATATATATATATATATATATATATTTAAAAAAAAACAAAACTGACCCAACAAGAACAAGAAAATTTAAATAGCTCTATTTAAAGAAACCAAATTAATAAAATAAACCTTCCCACAAAGAAAACTCTGGGTTTGGATTCACTGGTGAATTTTATCAAATCTTTAGGGAAAAAAAATAATACGTATATTACATAAACTCAGATCACAGAGAAGGAAACTACTCCCGACTAATTTTATGAAGTTAGTGTAACTTTGATACTGAAATCTGATAAAGACATTAACAGAAAAGAAAATAACTGATCTACAGACCTGACAGATGCAGCAGCAAAAAAATCCTTAAAATATTAGCAAATAGAATCCAACAATTTATAAAAAGGATAATGTCTTACGACCAAAGTGAAGTTTATCTCAAGAATGCAAGGTTGGTTTAACATTTAAAAACCAACCAAGGTAAATTCACCACATTAACAGAGACACCAAATGAGCATCTCAATAAATCAGAAAAAGCATCCGTCAAAATTCAGCACCCATTCATAGAAAACCTCTGTAAACTAGGAATAGAAAAAGATTGCCTCTATCTAGTAAAGATCATCTACTAAAAACATACAGTTAACATCATACTTGGTAATGAAATACTGAATGCATTCCTGGCTATAACCATCAACAATGAGTATCTTACCCATGGGCTAGGGGACATTTTAATCTACCCATATCACATATTCTTGGGGATAAGGCCCACTGGACAGAGCCTTGACCCTCTGAAACTTCAGCATTTTGTTGATGTTTTCTACTACAGTAGCCCCAGCCTTGCTACAGAAGTTAGGTATTTCTGGGCCTATCAGTGCTGACAGTGTCTTTAGAATTTCTTTCAACAGACTAATTCCTACCAACTATGAGGTAGTGTCTCAAATTCCTGGATCCATTTTTAACAGCTTGTGTGCTTTTTATTTTCTTTTCTAATTACATTTTACCACTTGAAAAATAAACTCATTGATATAAAAAGAAAACAAAGAACTTTTTCTCTTAAATTTGACTGGAAATAGTAACCCCTCGCTTGGCAATCTGAAATGAAAAACAGACACACAGACACAATCAGGCATACTTATGCCATGCCCACAAATTTAAAATGAAGTAAAGAAAAAAAGACAATCAATTTAGATAGATGGGGCCCAAAAAACTGGCTTTGGGCTCTAAATCATCTAAACTGGTTGATTCCACAGTTCAGTTTCACTAGATAAGCTACTGAGCTTCTTTCTCCATTTTGGTTATACAGCTGTATCCCTAAGGCATTAAGTAGGATTTAGTACTCAACTGAAAACTGCCTACTGTCAATAAGCCCAAACAGACCTTCTCACCCCCAGCAGAGACACTCCTCCCCCACAGGCAACAAAATTTTCCTACCTTTTTTTTTCCTTCTGCTGCATCTTAACAGGCTCTGCTTTTTTGCTGGATTTCTTCAGGCCTGTAGGGGCTGCCAGGTTTGGTTCAGTGACAGACACTGGAGGTTGCTCCACTATTTTTTCTTCTTTCACTGCTTGTTCTGAATCCAAATTGACTTTAAGTTTATCTACAAAAACAGTATAGCAGATGATATATAACTTCATCATGCAATATTAATCTATCATTCCTCTGACAGTCTACTAAGTGCCAAGTAATTTGTTAGGAGCAGGGGCTAAAGGGATAAAAAACAGTCCCTGTCCTAACAGAACTCAGGGTCTAGTCAGAGAACATGTCTCCTTTCCAACTACCACTCTAGCTCTGTTTTCATTTCTGCCTCTTGCTAATCCCTCATTATATCACAGCCCCCAGGCCAAATAATAGTAAAAGCAGGACTTATAAAAAGCAAATACAACTTTATGAGCTAACATCTTTCTCATTTGTTAGATGAGAAAATTAAGAGTCTGGGGGATAAAAGATGTTTCCCAAGAGTACACAGCTTACAAATAGTGACAACAGAAATTTGTACCAAGATCTTACTTTCTATTACATTCTATATTCTTAAACCTGGATACTCTTATCATCTCACTACTTATCTTAATGATATAATTAAAAGACTAGTTTGGAATCAGAAAAGTTTGAGTCATACTGTTTTACTCTGGGTAAGCTACCTAAAAGTCAGTCTTCTCTGTAAAAACTAAAGTAATATTTATGAGACTATTTTAAGGATTAAAAGGGATTAGTGTGTGAGGTTATACACAAGGTAACTTACCCCAAGGTAAGACTGATAGAAAAGGTTAAGAGTCAGGATTTGAACCTAAGTCAGTTTAACTCCTCAAAATTCTTACCTCTTTCCCTACACCAAGCTGAAAAACACAAAAACAACTACTATGCTGCGCAGAGGACTAAGAAATGCAAGCAAGATGGGCCTAGCCATCTGAGAAATTATAGAAGAATAGCCTTCCTGCTATATTTAGTGACAGTTTTTTCAAGAGAAGTCACAAAATACTCTCAGAAAGCTGTAAACAGCCTGAGGCTCTTCAATAAGTAGCTCTGGTTATATGCTGTAAAATAGCTTAAGCCAGCTACAGTGTACAAAAAAACAATTGATATCTTAGCCTTGGCCATTACACACAGCTTAGTTTAATAATTTACAAATAAAGTATATTATGTGAAAGAACAGATGACGGATAAAAATATAACACGCAATCTGTTTATACTTTATTTTTTGAAGACTTCGCTGAGAATTCTGAATGGTGGAATTCACTAGAGAATTGCAGCATTCTCTCCTGCCTTTTCAAAACTGCTGTCTTCAAGTATCAGTACTTCTCAAACTTTTCCACCAATCGGAGAGTAAACATGCATCTCCAGGGGGTCCAGAGTCAGTAACTGACCCTCAAAAAGCGAGTTCTCTGAAGTTGCATATATATCCTTAAAGTTTATGCAAATTTTGCATTCTGTTACAGAATTTATATCATATTGACAGCAACTGTTTTAAAATTACAAAAAAAACATTAACTATTTCCTACCTCCCCGTTGGGGTAAGGAAAGAGACGCTATTGCATCAAGTCTACCAATTTCAGGAAACTGATCTTAATTAAAATACCAGTGACCAAACAGATTTCAGCATCCAGAGTTTTTACTGTCTTGGTTTCACAGTATTTGAGGAATTCCTAACTCATTCACATATGCAGCTACAAGTGACCAATTAGCTGGTAAAAAGGCAGTTCACTGCAACATTTTCAGACTACTGTTAAGGAAAATTTAATCACTATTTTTTCCTTTTTATCTGAATAATCAAGTCATTTGTATCATTTGACTAATTAAAAGCATCTCCTTTTTATACTCAAGAAAATACAAAACACCTTTACAGGATACAGATGACTTCTTAATTTTGTCACCAATGCTGTAATTTTTTTCACATATAAAGCATTAAGGTTCTTGTTAATGAGATAATGTACATACCAGAAAAGTCACCATTTTAAAGATTTTATTTATTCATTTGAGAGACAATGAGATAGAGAGAGAGCATGAGAGGGGGGAAGGTCAGAGGGAGAAGCAGACTCCCTGCCGAGCAGGGAGCCCGATGCGGGACTCGATCCCGGGACTCCAGGATCATGACCCGAGCCGAAGGCAGTCGCTTAACCAACTGAGCCACCCAGGCGCCCCGAAAAGTCACCATTTTAAAGTGTAAAATTCAGTGGTTTTTAAAAACTGTGCAAACATCACCACTATCCAATTTCAGAACATTTTCATCACCCCAAAAAGGAACCCTTTACCCATTAGCAGTCACTCCCCAATCCCAACCCAGCCCATGACACTAATCTACTAATATTCTACATTCTGTCTTGATAGATTTGCCTATTCTGGACATCTTGTATAAACAGAATTACACAATATGTGGCCTTTCCTGTCTAGCTTCTTTCATTTCACATGTTTGAAGGCTCATCCATGTTATAGTATAGGTTCATGCCTTTTTTATGGTTCAATAATATTCTATTGTGGGAGGCCTGGGTGGCTCACTCAGTTGAGCATCTGACTTCGGCTCCTGAGATCAAACCCCACATCGGGCTCCCCACTCGGCAGGGAGTCTGCTTCTCCCTCTCCCTCTGCCCCTCCCCTACTCGTGTTCTCTCTCTCCTCTCTAATAAATATTTTTTAAAATAACAGTAATATTCCATTGTGTGGTTATATCACATTTTGTTTATCCATTCATCAGATGATGGACCTTTGGGTTGTTTCCACTTTTTAGCTATTATGAATAATGCTACGAACATTTGTGTACAAGTTTTTGTGTAGACATACAGTTCTAATTCACTTGAGTAGATATGTAGGAGTGGAAGTGTTGGATAATTATTTAACTTTTTGAAATACTGCCATGCTGTTTTTAGAATAAGCACATCATTTTATATTCCTCACAGCAATGTATAAGGGTAACTGTTACACTTGCTATTGTCCAGCATTAAGTTTTAAATGCTTCAAGTCCCCACAACTCTTTCCTCCAACTCTCATTTTCATTGCAATGATCTTGTCATGTGTCAAATACAATAAAAATATTCATCATTTTATTCTAAACATTCATCCCTGAAAAAACATCTGTTAAATAAATCAACTCTAGAAGCCATTCTTTTTATTAGGTAAATATTTAATTCTTTTATTTTATCCAGTTCTCCACTCTCTCTATTACTGTTACTGTCTGCCTAGCAATTATAATCATTAATTATTTTATTCTTTATTTGTCTGTCTCTCCTAGTAGTATATAAGGACCATGAGGGCAGAGACCTCACTTGCCTACATTTTCTCCTTTGTATCACCATGCATAATAGTTCCAAGTACACAGTAGTTGCTCAATAAATATTTCCTAAATAAACAAGTGTATACTTCTGTATAGCTTGATTTTTTTTTTATGACTAGCAAATAGTCATGGCTTATATATTTTAGAAATAATAAAAATGTTTAAATTCACTGGTTACAAATGCACCAAAAAACAACAAATAAAACAAAACAAATAAAAATGTGGACCTAAAAGTCACCAAGAAACCACACAATCTGATTCGGTTCTGTGGCCCAGTACCAGCCATGCAGGCCAGTGACATTAGCCACCATCTATTTTCACAGAAGTTGGGAGCCGTCCTTGTGCACTCCGCCTGCAACAACACAATGTGCTTCTCAATAACCTGAAAAGTATCAAATTTTCCATCTATTTTCAGAACACAAAAACTTTTTGTGATAGCTTTTTGGCAAATAAACACTATCACTCCAAAGCCTCCTTCAACCACTAATTTGACCATCATGGGAAAGAGAATTCGGACTAATTTTGCTTGCATAGGCATGTAACAAAACGCCTTCCCACAAGATCTCTGTAAAACTGATGCTCCAAGAAAGTGTGCCATAATTATCCCGTGGCTCCGGAATTCTTTCTGGTATTATGCCACATACCCTCAGGGGATGTGTACTTGGTATGAGAAGTGTGAAAATATGTGACTACTGGTTCTTTCCATATGAAAGAATTCTCATTTAAATAAAATTTTTAAATAAAGGCGATTTTGCTTTCTCAAAAAGTATTATTTTTAAGTGGCCACTACCTCCCGGGTCCTTCTAATTCATACTGAGGTCTAGTTCATTATCATGAGTAATCTATAAAAAATAACTCCAGAAAGCCGAAGATTTGTTTATGCAGCCCCCTGGGAGACAGGGGTAATAATTAATAATTGTCATACGAGGCGAACCTGAGCCCAGCACCTAGGATATTAACCTCAACACCATACTGTATAACCAAGCAGCCTCCCTTCTATTTTGTCACCCATTTTCAAGAGCCCTATGAAACAAATAATAAATTCTCTTTCCAAGGCAGGAAGTAAAAACAGGAGTAGTAAACCACCCTACAAGAGATCTAAACTGAACCCAGCTCACCCATAAAATCCACTGTTCCAGTGGGGTTCCATTCAATATTTGGTCAGTAGACTGCAAATTTATGTTAGGATGCAGGAAGGCTGCATGATATACCAGATGGATAAAAACTGAACAAGGTGGCTTTCACCTCAAATATGTTATTATATTAACATTCATGTATTAATCAAAGGAAGGTAAAAACATGCTTACTCATAGCAGCTTTTCCAAAAAAATTGCTCATCACATTCCCTTTCCCTGGTGCCTTGTTGCCTGTGGATACCTAAAGCAGAAAACACACATCATTTTTTTCTAGTGTCTAAGGTTGTTCAAGTAGCAGTCTTAATCTCTTCAATAGCAGGGCACACCGTCATGATGGCACAATCTCTATATAATCATGGAAAATGGGGGCGCCTGGGTGGCTCAGTTGTTAAGCGTCTGCCTTCGGCTCAGGTCATGGTCCCAGGGTCCTGGGATCGAGCCCCGCATCGGGCTCCCTGCTCTGCGGGAAGCCTGCTTCTCCCTCTCCCACTCCCCCTGCTTGTGTTCCCTCTCTCGCTATGTCTCTCTCTGTCAAATAAATAAAATCTTTAAAAAAAAAAAAAAATCGGGCGCCTGGGTGGCTCAGATGGTTAAGCGTCTGCCTTCGGCTCAGGTCATGATCCCAGGGTCCTGGGATCGAGTCCCACATCGGGCTCCCTGCTCCTTGGGAGCCTGTTTCTCCCTCTGCTTCTCTCTCTCTGTCTCTGTCTCTTGTGAATAAATAAAAAAAAAAAAAAAAAAAAAAAAAAAAAAAAAAAAATCTTTAAAAAAAAAAAAAAAAAAAAAATCATGGAAAATGTGTCGGCATTAGATGTAAGAACAAATCCAAACCAGAGTATCTGATGTTTATCTCCAAAGCTTACTTGCTCATTGTTCTTACAGACTTACTATCCATGAATGTGTCTAAACTTTTGAGTATATTAAAAACTACTTAGTTTGATAGAATTAAAACAGATCAGAGGCAGTATGGTACACACTGAGAGGGAGGGAGAACCTTCAAAACGTTACATTTGTAATAATCAGAAGTGGATTTGAACACTGGTTGCGCCACTTAATAGCAATCTGATATCCAGGCAAATCACTCAACAAGTCTAGCACTCAGTTTTTGAGTACACATACAAAACAGAGTCTCTCCCTCAATGAACTGTCAGAGGATTTGAGCAAAGATCAAAGTATGGCACACAGTAGTTCCATAAATGTTAGTGTTTTCCTTCCACTCCCCTTTCCTTTCCCAAAGTGGAAGTTGTAAAATCACAATGAAGGTAATAACAATAATAATAATTATGCTTTTCTGGAGTATTTTTAAATAGTGTTTTAATGAGACCATTTAAGTTGCTTCAGATGAGTGAATAAAAAACTAAGGGAAGCAGCTAAAGAAAAAGACAAAAATTCATAAAACAGAACGAGAATGTTAAATATACTAAGAAGAAAGGCATACAGGGTAAAGCTCAGAATATAAGATGTTCCCAAAATGACGTACTGTTAATATACAATTCCTTGAACTTTGTAATTTTCAAATGGTCTCATATGCATTATTTGGCTTGCACAACAATCTTGCAATGTGTACAGGGCCATTTTACAGGAGAATCCAAGGCTTGATGAGAAGCATTATCAAAAGAAAAAGGACTATTTCAGATGAAAATATCAAGAATTAAAGGATTCAGACTAAAGTAGAAAAACTAGAACATATTTTTATACATCAGAACATTATGTGATTAATCTACTACCATTGGAACTCTAATGCTTTTCCATTACCCATTCTGAGCTATCAAGACATATCTTTAAAGACTTACATTTGTTACCTCTTTAGTCTCTGTTTTGGTTTCCTTGTTGACATCTTGGGTTTTAGAAGCAGCTTTAGAGGCAAACATTCCCATTATCCCTTTGGGCTGCTGGAAAATCTGTTTGGAGGTAGGCAGACTATGACCATTGGTTGTCAACTCATTATTGGCTGGTGTCTCACTTGATACTTGAAGATTTGACTGCTCAAACTTTTCAGAAGACGAGGATTCAGCAGCAGCTCTGGGGACCGCAGCTGCACACTGTATGGCACTAAACCTGAGGTCACAAATGTTACATTAATTTCAAAGTCTTGCTTCTTCCACACAATACTTTCTAACTCTAATACTATTAAGTTAGAAAATTTCAGAACTAAAATGGATTTTAGAAATTATTTTGTACAAAACTCTCAGATATAAAACAAGTATTGGAGAGACACTGAGGGACTTGCCCTAGATTATATATCTAGTTAGTAATAGAACCAGGACTGGAATCCGATGTCTTCCATCGTACCATATTAAATATCTTTACTTTCTTGAACAGAGCATCTTAATTCAAAACAAAAAGAAAACACCAAAAAATAACAAAAGATTAGTAATCTCACCATCCTTGGGAAGTCAAATGATTATCTCTTGTTTTTAAAGACCTTCAACTTATAGGACTACATATGCAATAAATATTGACTGAACCAAAATTATGAGCTTTAAATATTAACAAATTTTCTGGCAACTCTCCTGGCCAGAGTGGATCATGCTTTAAAACAAGGAAGAAGCTAGGAACAAAGCCATTGGTTCATATGACTGGTGGTCCTTCACTGTCATTTGTTAATAATTTCTAATTATACCAACTAACAGCACCAGACAAGTATGCCCAAAACCAAGTGAAATTTGGCACAGTATGCATGGCATATTAAAGGGAACATTCATCTCTTTTTCTATAATCATTGTAGATGTGCCTGTTTCACACAAATCACAGCTGTGCTTAAAGCAAAGTTCCCTCACTTTTCTTACAAAGAACAACATTTGATTTCCCCCAGTCTTTAGCTTACTGGGGGTTGCTGAAAGCTCCTTGGATGTAGGGAAGGGCATTATTCATCTTTTGTATTTTAGGTACGCAGTACGAGACCTGACACACAGAAATACTAGTGAAAGAATGATAACTGAAGTCCCTGGAAGTGAAGACTTCTGGTTTCCCTCTCTTGGGATAGGAGAAGATGGAGGTTAAGAAAGAAACGATGTGGTAATAGTAATTACCTAGGAGATCAACCAGGCACAACTTCAACATTAACTGCTAGAATAACTAGCCTAAGAAAAAAGTCTCTGATAAATCCTTTAATTTCAGAAGTAACTTTAGACTGAACAGCCTAGGTTTGAGGCTCCAAAAATCTTCTACTGATTTACTACGGTCCACTTCAGAAAACCCCACACTAACACAGATATTTTGTGCATCAGAGTTAAGAATAGACAGAAATAATTTCCTTTCACCCACTAGTCTTCCTCTCTAGCCTTGCAGTGCTTCCCTGTACAAGGAAAAGAGCAATGTTTTATCTCATTGTCAACATCTAAAGTTGGCCCTGAGAAAACTCTTTCTCCATTTGGTCTACATTCCACACCTTAGGGTCAGGACCAGAAATTGGCAATAAGGAAGAGACCAAGTTAGGCTGGGAACATGTCCGAAGAGAGAAGAATCTGCTCAGTCCTAAAATTTCAATTTTCTTCCTGTCATAGCACTTCTTAAAACACATGAAACAATGAGTCAGATCTCAGCTGGCCCATAATTCTCAGGACCAAATACAAACTTCTTTATTGGAGATAAATTCTTCACATTTCTACCCACGATACTTTAAATATTTAAGTAAAGTTTCATTAAAATGCTTCCTATTGCCACATTTCTACTTGCCATGTTTACTTTAGTGGTCCCTGAGCAAATTTCATTTTGAACTTTTGAGTCACCTTTATTCCTGTTTACTTACTTAATTAGATACAACAGATTTAGAGCTTCACATGCCATAAGTACATTTAAATATAGGTTATTTTTGGAATCTAATAATGTAATTTACATAAACATATCAGGGTATTCATCTTTTCTTATGATCCTTCCCTAAAAAACACCACTTATAAATGATGATTCTAGCTATGTAATTATATTTATTTATTTAATAAATATTTGTATGCCTATTATACTTAAGGTTTTGAGCTGTAGAATAAAAGAACTATTGCCTATCATTAATTCACTCAGTAATTACTTATTGAATGCTTACCATTTGCTAGGCACCATTTTGGGTACAAAATAGACACAATTCCTATTCTCATGGAACTTCCAGAAACTATGTTTGGAAAGTCTATATCTATTTCATCTCAAGGACCTGGTTCTATCAGTTATCCCATCTTCCCCAGTAGTTTCAACCATTTCTTCTTTTATGGCTCTTTCCTAACAGTACAAGTTCAAGGCATTCTCAACTTTAAAAATGGATAGACCCTCCCTTAGTCTCAATTCCTCTTTAGCTACCTCTCTTTTTCCTCCATTTTACAGTCAAATTTCCTGGAAAGAGTTTTTCATATTTGCTGTCTCACTTTCTCATGCTCCCATTTACTCAGTTGACCAGAATCCAGTCACTCCACTGAAAACCCTCTTAACACTAAATCCAATGAACACTTTTCAGTTCCTATTTTACTTAGCTTCTCAGCAAGGTATGACATTGTCAATCAGTCCCTCCTTGAAACTCTTTCCTTAGAACCCCATATATTCTTCTGATTTTCCTCTCATCTCTGGTTGCTCCCGTTTAGGCTCATCTTCTCTTGCCCATCCCTTGAAAAATGGTCGTCATCTAAATAGTGCTTACTATGTGCCAAGCACCGTTCTAAGTGTTTTTTGTTTTGTTTTAAGATTTTATTTATTTGACAGAGACAGCGAGAGAGGGAACACAAGCAGGGGGAGTGGGAGAGGGAGAAGCAGGCTTCCCACCAAGCAGGGAGCCCGACGTAGGGCTCGATCCCAGGACCCTGGGACCATAACCTGAGCCGAAGGCAGATGCTTAACGACTGAGCCACCTAGGCGCCCCCCATTCTAAGTGTTCATTCATTTATTCCTTGACAGCCCTTTGAGGTTGGTACCTTTGTTAGCTTCATTTTACTGAGGAGGAAGTTGAGGCACAGAGAGGTTAAATAATTTGCTCAAGGTATATAGCTAGTAATTGTGGCCTAGAGTTTGACTTTCTGCCCTCTTTCATTCTATACATTCTCTCTGCATGACTGTATCTACTGCTGTGGCTCAATTAATTAGCTATTTTCTCTGATTCACAAATCTTTATCTTCAAGCCAGATTTCTCTCCTTGACTCTATACCACTGCATGGACATCTCCGCTTGGACTCCCCACAGGCTTCCCAAACTCAACATGTCCAAACCCAATTTATCGTTTTCCCTTCTCTCCCCAAGCCTACTCCTTCCCACATATTCCCTTTCTTAGTGATGACACCATCACACATCCAGACACATGACCACCATCCTTAACACTATGAACACCCCCACCCCATACACACACACATCTGGTCCCCAAGCATTACAAAATCCAGGTTTTGACAGCATGACTCTTTTAACCTTCATATGACTTCACCCCCAACACTACTATTACACTTCAGGTAACTGTCATCTCCACCCCGAATCACTACATTTCTCCTCACTGATGGCTTTGTCTCCCAATTATTCAGTCCCTCCTGATCTTGTTCACCATTGCAGCCAAGTGATCTTTTTTTGAAGATTTATTCATTCATTCATTCATTCAAAAATAGAGAGCACGTACATGAACACAGGGAGGTGGAGAGGGAGAGAGAATCTCAAGCAGACTCCCTGCTGAGCACAGAGCCCAACACAAGGTTCAATCCCACGACCCTGAGATCATGACCTGAGCCAAAATCAAGAGTCAGATGCTTAACTACCCAGGCACCCCCAAGTGATCTTTCTGTAATGCAATTTTGATCATTTTACTCATCTGCTTCAAAATCTTCAGTGGCACCCCAGTACCCTCAGAATAAAGTCTAAACTCCTTATCCTAGCGGTCAAAGCATATAATCTGACACCTACTTCCGTCTTATACCTCATTATTTCCTACCTCTCACTCTAAGTTCCCGCCACAGAAAATGACTATGGTCCCACACAAGCACCAGGTTTTCTCGCAGCTCTGTCCTTACTTTCCTACTTCTCCTTTGACTGGCTACTTCTACTCAGGCCTTCAGGCCTCAGCTTAGCTGCCACGCCTCCAGGAAGCCTTCTCTCTTTTGCCTCCTCACTCAAAAGTGGGGGATGAATGCTCCCCCAAACATCCTCCCACAGCATTACTCCTACTAGAGCACTGTCACACTATACTATAATTGCCTCCCTTAGGACCATGAGTTCTATAAGCAGGTACTGGGCCATATCCACTCTACAGTGTGTGGCATGGCACAGGTACTTATTAGATCTTTGTAGAATGAATTCAAATTACCTCACTTAGTACCTGTCAAAGTAGTAAGTGCTTAATATGTCTGGGGAACTGACCTGAACCTTCAATACAACCCCACAAAGTAGGCATTATATCTAATTTAAAAATGAAAAAGCCACAGCTCAAAAGAGTTTAAGTAATTTGTCCAAAACCACCAGGCTATTAAGCAGCAAAGCCACAACACAAGTCTGTGCATTACAGTCCATCACCTCACTGAAAATGATACAAAGGATACAAAAGATGAACAAGACCCGATCCTGGCTGTGAAAGATCAAATGTTTTTGGATGGAAGGTAGAGGGATAACAAATTAGAAATAGTTTTTGAAGGACATCTGAACTGGTTCTTGAAAAATGGGTGGGATTTAGACAAGCAGAGACTGGGGTAAGGGAGTAATGAGGGGGCACAACAAACCTTTCGGTGGCAGTGACAGGATAAATACATGAGGAATAGATTTATGGGGAGTCCACTGGGGTTTTCAGTATGGGCTGCTATTTTTCACCTTATGATGTACTAATAAAACCAGGCATGTGTCTTACTGCAAGATAAATGGGGTTTTACTAGACTTGGCATTCACTCTTAAGAGGCAGCCACTGTGTAAACATCTTACAAAATCAATTCGTAAAGAAGCCCACAAGGAACATTAAGGAGCTCACTTGCTGCAGTTCTGCAAGTTGCTTTTAAGGATGTCATAGTCCGTATTGAACAGAGGCCCACTGTCCTTTAGCATAGCTTTCTGGATGCTGTACACATGGATGCTGGCAGTCACCGCTAGCTTGGACTTCACTGCTACAAGTCAACAGGAAAAGCAGTCTGTTAATACACAAACTTCATAGCATGTGGGGACTTTAACAAGAAACCCTTCTGCATTAAAACCATCTGCAATCTGTGGTGGTCCAAAAGCTCTAAAAGGCCAAAGAGTCACATACACAGTATAACATCAACTCTTCTGTCTATAACTGGGACATCATGACAAGGTAGGTGGTGGTGAGTCAGTTCTAAGTACAACACCTGTGAGGGTATCACTCATCCAGTGGACTTTCAGTAAACATTAATGAATGATTGATGATGACTATGATATTCTTTATTTTTTTTCAATCAGGGAAGAATCTTACACTCTAGTATATAATTAAAGAATAATTTCTATCTGAGAAGACTCAATTATATAATTCAATTTTTGTGCAGAGAAAGCAACTATAACAAAAATACTACTAGCCAGCTAAGTCTGCAGGAAAAAAACCACAAAAGAACATCACAAGAACAAATGTTAGATTCCACGAAGAAAGGGACTGTGACTGAGTCTCCAGCACCTAACACAGAGTTTGACAGAGTAAATACTCATTATGTATCTACTGAATGAATAAATCTCACTTTGGCCACCACTGTGGGAATTCAGAAAGACAAAAGTGGACATCTCCACTACCCTGAATACCTCAGAGTTATTTTGTAAGAAAACGACGCCAACGGCAGGAGTCTTTGTATACAAAGTACAACAGTGCAGGTTTCATCTTGAGACATATGTCCAGATCATGTGGACCCTGTTACAAAATTCCTTTGAACTGGATTTTTAAATAATAAAACCGTAATATTAATAGCCTTTAAATGGCATAGGTACTTGCCATTTATTTTAGAAGTTATATTAAGTCTTTCTGACTTTAGAAAAGCATTCTTTAATTTTCTTCCTAAAAAATCGTTAGGGAACACAACACAGTATTTAGAGACTACTGTCTTTTTCCAGTTCATGAGCTGTTCCATATGGTATTCATGATAGTTTTTTGCATGAATGACATGAGTTTTGAAATCCTGTAATAAAAGTGCTTTGTAAATGTCAGCAGCTATTGGTCTTAAAAATGGGAAGTTAGGCAGAGGTGGTATCCTATTTTAACATGTTTCAGAAACTACTAATAAAAGGAATATTCAGCTTTTCAGTTAAATAGCTAAATATATTGTATGCAGATGCTAGGGGCAGATTTTTTACGGTACCTACATTGATGCCGTAAGAGGAAAATCTTGCTAAATTGCTAAAACACTTACCTTCCAATTTATCTTCTCTCACTACTGCAACCTTGTGGCACTGTAAGGAAATAACACTTCATTAGTGTTTAAAGCAGTAATACAACTTGCAATTTTAAAGTTTATTTGCTGGTAATTCAATTACACTTGGATGTGAAATTAGGAACATTCGGGTACCCCTAAAAATTCTGTGTACAGGGGCACCTGGGTGGCTCAGTCAGTTCAGCATCTGACTCTTGGTTTCAGCTCAGGTCATGATCTCAGGGTTGTGGGATCCAGCGGGGCATGCATTAGAATCTGCTTGTCCCTCTCCCTCCCCTTCTGCCCTCCCCCCAAAACAAACAAACAAATAAATAAATAAATATGTATTTTTAAAAATCTGTGCACAGGGGCTCCTGGGTGGCTCAATCGGTTAAGCGTCTGCCTTCAGCTCAGTTCATGATCCCGAAGTCCCAGGATCGAGCCCCATGTTGGGCTCCCTGCTCAGCGGGGAGTCTGCTTCTCCCTCTCCTTCTACTCCTCCCTCACTCATGCATGTGTGTGTGTGCGCGCGTGCACATGCGCTCTCTAACAAATAAATAAAATCTTAAAAAAAAATCTGTGTACAGTTTAATAAAGTCAGACTTATTTTTAACTTGTTTACTTTAAAATTTCTCCATCTGCGTAAGAAAAGTGATAGAATATACATATCAATACAATTAAAAACCAAACAAAAGGCAGCCCCCAGCTCACAGTGCTGCCAGCCCACAGAAGGGGGTGAGTGTGCAGCAAGGCCAAAGCCCCACTATCTGTGGGGCCCAGGCCCACTGAACGCAGTGATCATGGTGGCACTGAGCTCAGGCAAGGTGTGTCATAGCACATCACCAATACTTCGAGCTGAAGCACCTCTCCAGCAGGGACCCAGTCTGAAATAGGCTTGGGGCACAGAAGTTGACGTGTTAGCCAAGACTTTCACTGAACAAGGGAAGCTCATTTCGGACAATGTCATGACTCTGCTTGGCCCTTCATGAGCTGAAAAATCTCACCCAATATAGCTGGCTATTGCGTAGGTTTCCAAGGCACTTTCACAGGCAGAAGCCCTGGACAGTTTATCAGATAGAGTGCTTAATCTGAACATGCCCTTCAAGGTCATGAAGCAACATCCACTTGCTAAAAATTCATCCACCTCAGCACCAAGTCTACAACATCAAATTCGACTCTCCCAAAACTACGGGCCTTGGTGACCTGACTGGAAAGGCTCTCATCCAGTGTGAGAGTAACAGATGAGAGATGGTTCTCAAGCGATTGAAGGCTTACAAAGCCCAAACAGAGCTGGTCCTGGAATATTACCTACCAGACAAAAAGAAACATTCTCCAGAATAGAAACCGACAAGATCTGGCCCTATGTGTATGCCTTCCTACAAACAAAAGTTCAACAAATAAACCAGAAAATATCGGTTACTTCACGAGGAAAACTGCATTTACCTAGTAAAATGAACAGAAGCTCCTCATCCATGCATTTAGAAGCTCCTGGTCCTAAGACTGGCATCTATGAATTCTTTGAAAATTATATTAGTTTCATTTCTACTGATTCTATCTGGAAATTAAGGATGTGCCAAATGAGTCAGATACGAAGATTCATCTTTTGAAATCATCTAGTGTGTTTTATTCAGTTATCTTCTATGGGGGTGTAACTGAAAAACATCAGAAATGTCTAAACTTCAAAAAAAATATTTTATAATATTTAATAATTAAAATTGGTAGTGACCTAACATTTGTTCAGAAGAGTAAGTGGTTGATACATTTTCCTTATTTTCTGGAAAAGAAACAAAAAAACTCCATGTCATTTGGGGAAAGTATCTCATCAGAGGCTTTTTGCATAGACTGACACCAAAAAAGACATCTTTAGCACTGTGGTATATGGCTCTGTGAGACACTAGGTCTATAAAATTCCAGGAAAAAAACCAACTGGATTTAGAGATTAGTTGCAGGATGCAAATTCACTGCTGCCTTTACCTAAGACACTTATTTTTTTCTTTCTTTTCTTTTTTTTTTTGAGAGACAGCTCAAGTGAGCAAGTGAGCGAGCAGAGGGGCGGGGCAGGGAAGAAAGTCCCCAAGCAGACTCCCTGCTGAGCACAGAGCCCAAATCAGGGCTCAACCTCACAAACCATGAGATCACAACCTGAACTGAAATTGAGAGTCAGACACCTAACTGACTGAGCCATCCAGCGCCCCTACACTAAGACATTTATAAATTAGCCATATATGCTGAATTTATTTTGTTGTTAAACTTACCTGTTTACTCAGAATTTTCAATTTGTTATAAAAATGTATTAATTAGCACATAGGAAAATTTATTTTTTAGGAAAAAAATGGGAAAAAAAAGAAAAAAAGGAAAAAAAGATTTTTCTTTTGAGAATACACATGCTCTGAGGGACATGACTTATGTTAGAAATTGACGTAAGTTCTTGCAAAAATACCCGAGTCGAATTTTCAGCAGAAAATGTAATTAAAGTCTTATGTTTTCAGATGTTATTCAGTTTAGAAATGTGTGCTTTAGGATCTACTTGTTAGTTTTGCTTTTTAATCAAAATGTAAGATCTGCCTTGATGAGTAACAAATTAAAGTACAAAAAAAAAGAATAAAAGAAAGCCCATGACACTAGCAAAGCAAGCATACTTTATCATCAGGAAATAGAAACAGATCAGGTATGCTTGGGGAAAATTCCCTTGATATATATAACAATTATAATTAGCAAAAAAATAATTAAAAGGATTTACATGACAGGTTAAAAAAGACCAAGAAATAACTGAGTTTGCTGAATGAGTTCTTTATTCCTAATCAAAGAAGTTAACACCTGCTTGTGTTCACCGTCATAGTTACATCCACTGTTATCTGGCAGGAAAAACCTTTACCAGCGAGTATAATCTGAATAGCCATATTAAAATGAAAATGCTTTGATTCCTTAGTGGGGCAACAAAGATGCCTGCTGACGTCCTGTGGCCTGGTAGGAAGAATGGGGCAATATGAGAGCTGGAGGAGAAACACGACTCTTCCGTGGCATATTTACTCTTACTTTACTTGGTGCTAAATCAAATGAAACAAGTCCTCCTTGTACACGCTGTTATTAACTGCCTTTGAAAATTTAGCCCATTTTATTCTGGGCACTTAAAATATGAATGCCAGAGAGTAGTTCTTATGTATTTGGGGGGGGGGGGGCGGGAAGGACTTATTTTCCTTTCTTTTGATTTTTAAAAATTCGATGTTGGTCTTTCAAAATGAACCAAGGCTTTTAAGAAGGATTATAGTAAACATTTCATTCTTTACAAAATTTTCTATAAATGTTTATTACATGCTTTCTAAAAATGTTGTGAACTACTAAACTTATTATCACTAGGTTATCTGGCATACATTAGTATTAATGTATTAGAATAAAACTAAATTTTAGAACTGTGAAAACAAACACAAAAAGCAAACACAGCATCTCAAATAGTGTGAGTAAAAGAGAACTTCTTAGTAAGTGATATAATAAGAATTAATGTATAATCATATGGAACCAAATAAAAACTGGATCTGTCTCTCACAGATTTGGAATACACTCTAAATCAAGCAAAGATTTAAATATAAAGAATGAAACCATATATATATCATAAGAAAATATGGGTGAATTCTTCTATAAATGGATAAATGTAAACTGATATAATCTGAGAATAAGGAAAGTTTCCTAACTATAAACAGTAAGGATTAATTTAAATAATACACAAAAACTAGCAAATATACAACTTTTGAATGACAAAAATAAACTTAAAGCACAAAGTACAAAGACAAATGATAAAATGGAAAAAATACCTGCAATTCATATCACCAAGAGTTAATATATAGCTTCTAAAATAGAGAAAGACACTCCTTTAGAAAAATAGGCAAAAGGTATGGACAGCGCACAGAAAAAGAAATGCAACTGACCCTGAAACAGATGACAACATGCATTGTGTAGAGAAGGGGACTCTCACACATTACTGGTGGGAATAAAAAATGGAGAGAGATTTGGCAATTACCCAATGCAGTACATACACATCTTAGGAATCCTCGGAAATGTAACTCTAAAAGTGGCAAAAATATACAAAACACATATTTACTATAACACTATCTGTAATGGCCAAATACTGTAAATGACTCAAAAAACTATCAAAAAGGGACTGCTGAAAAAGCTAAAGTAGATCAATGTAGGATCAGGTGGCTGTAATAAGGAATGAGGAATATTTCCTGTAACTGCTATGGAGTGATGTTCAGGATCTACAGTTAAGTAAAAGAACAAAGTGTAAAATAGGGTATATAGTATGAAAACTTTTATCTAAGAAAAGGGGTAATATGAATATATATTTGAATATATGAAAAATGTATACAACAAAAATGGAAGGAGAAGCAGAATCTATTAAAGTAGCTACCCTGTAAGGGAAAGTGGGGAACCTAAAAATTGAAAGTAGGAAAAGATTTGAATTTAACTACATACTGAGCTGGTGGCTTAACCACAGAGAGGAGTTATTGCAAGTAACTAAAACACAGGCTGATTGTGCATCCCTAGTAAGATATATCCTACAGACAAAAGGAACTGCAAAGAAATCTTAATGTTTCCAGTAAACATATTATTAGTAAAAATAGTAGTTCTGCTTTTCTAAATCTGGTATGTCTGGCTAAAGCAAATACATATTTATGAATAATGTTAGGAACTACCAAAATTTACAACATAAGAGAAAAAGCAGTATAAAATCAAGCAAGTTAAAAAAAAAAAAAAAAAGGCAGCGGCGCCTGGGTGGTTCAGTCATTAAGTGGCTGCCTTTGGCTCAGGTCATGATCCCAGGGTCCTGCGATCAAGCCCCACATAAGGCTCCCTGCTCCACGGGAAGCCTGTTCTCCCTCTCCCACTCCCCCTGCTTGTGTTCCCTCTCTCGCTGTGTCTCTCTCTGTCAAATAAATAAAATATTAAAAAAAAAAAGCATAGCTGTAAATTTAAACTGGGAATATTAGTATGGTTTCATAATGCATTTTCTCTTTAAAAAAAACAAAAGTCATTCCAAAAAAATGTCATATTCTGTAAAACCATACAATAAAAATTACAGAGTTAATGAGAAAAGGAGCAGTAGAAATTAACCACTCAAACTTACGCAACTTTCTAAGGAAGGCCCTAAAAACAAAAACTGGTAACTTCAGGAGAAAATCAGGATCGCCCAGACAGCTCAGTGTGGCTAAATGTTGCCTCAGGGGATACTGAAAATGCATAAAAATGACACAGTCGAAATGCCAACTTGCTGATGCTGAACAACATAGACCAGGGTAGAGCACTGATTCAGTGGGTTCCTTTTAAGATGGACACAGGAGTAAGTTCAGCATCCACAAACTCAGAGCCTGGTTGGGGTAAGCCCTCTGAGCTTTACAGCAGTTAAAGAAAAAAAATGAAAATATGGCTATTTAATGAGAGAAAGTTGTTCTTTATAGAAAAATTCCAGTCAATTCAGAAAAAATGACAGAACATTACCATTTTGTAACTCCTAGTGAATTAATAATCTAGGCAGCAATAAAATCAATCTCGGCTAAGATCATTAGATGAACAACTAATGGGGAACTTCATTAAGCATGGATTAGGTTGTCAACCTTCAAAACCACAAAAAGAGAATTAACAAAACATTCCCTTGAAATTTTCAAATAATTCTCTGGAAGATTCTCTGGGTTGAGATTAGAAGGAGGTTTTTGTTTTTTGTTTTTAACATTTTGTACAATAACGACTGGAAAAATATTTATATTTTTAAAAATCCATCAAAGCCAGTGTCCTTTTTCTTTCTAAAAACACTTAAAACTTGGGGTGCCTGGGTGGCTCAGTCAGTTAAGCATCTGCCTTTGGCTCGGGTCATGATCTCAGGGTCCTGGGATCAAGCCCCACCGTCGGGCTCCCTGCTCAGCGGAGTCTGCTTCTGCCTGCCACTCTGCCTGCTCATGCTCTCTCTCTCTCTCTCCCTCTCTCCTCCTGTCAAATAAATAAAAATCTTAAAAAATAAATAAATAAAAACACTTAAAACTTTAAAAAGAAATTAGAAGGAACAAGAATAAAATCTGACATTATGCTTAATCATCTGACTTTCCTTAGGAGGGCTTTCTTTAAGGAAGAAAGCATAGGTAAGCAACCACACTTGATCTGTAATTCCACAGGGTTCCGCAAAGCTGCCCTGCAAGGCTGTTTGGAGGGTGAGTACAAAGCTCCAAAAGTCTCACAACCACTTCAACCACAGCAACTCTACTCTTAATATATTTTATATATTAGGATTTTAAGATTTCATTTGAAAAACCATTCTGCTGCTTAAAAAGGCAGGATTTAAATGCCCACTTAAATTGAGAAATAGAATGCCTTCTTTAAGCAAGCCACAGCATAGAAGTTCTTTAACTGATTATGAGTTACACATCATTTTGAAAGATTGGTTTCAAAAAAATACATTGAGGAACACAATTTAAATGCACTTTCAGGGATTCATCCCCAAGCTCCTTGAACCCTGAAGACCACCTGAAGATTTGAAATTAAGAACTTTTGTCCTGTGGGTTAGAATAAAAATCTACAATTCTACCTTAAAACATAAATTCTTAACCTTGGATGCTGTTCCAGAAGATCTGTGAACACTCAAAATTTTATGAATATGTCAACATACATATTTTTCTTTCAGATTCTCAAAGGAATCAGTGATCAAAAAAGAAAACCACTGCTTTAAAGGAATACAATGATTCCCAGATAAAGAACGGACATGACTGGAATGGCTAAAATTAACAAGTCAGGAAATGACAGATGTTGGTGGGGATGCAGAGAAAGGGGAACCCTCCTATACTGTTGGTGGGAATGCAAGCTAGTGCAGCCACTCTGGAAAACAGTATGGAGGTTCTTCAAAAAGTTGAAAATAGAGCTACCATACGATCCAGCAATTGCACTACTGGGTATTTACCACAAAGATACAAATGTAGGGATCCGAAGGGGTATGTGCACCCCAATGTTTATAGCAGCAATGTCCACAACAGCCAAACTGGAAAGAGCCAAGATGTCCATCGATAGATGGACATGGATAAAGAAGATGTGGTATATATATACAATGGAATATTATGCAGCCATCAAAAAACCCAAAATCTTGCCATTTGCAATGACGTGGATGGAATTAGAGGGTATTAGGCTAAGCGAAATAAGTCAATCAGAGAAAGGCATGTATCATATGATCTCACTGATAAGAGGAATTCTTAATCTCAGGAAACAAACTGAGGGTTGCTAGAGTGGTCGGGGGCGGGAGGGATGGGGTGGCTGAGTGATAGACATTGGGGAGGGTATGTGCTATGGTGAGCGCTGTGAATTGTGCAAGACTGTTGAATCACAGATCTGTACCTCTGAAACAAATAATGCAATATATGTTAAGAAAAAAAAGAAAAAGAAGAAGATAGCAGGAGGGGAAGAATGAAGGGGGGGAAATTGGGAGGGGGAGATGAACCATGAGAGACAATGGACTCTGAAAAACAAACTACTAAGAGTTCTAGAGGGGAGGGGGGTGGGAGGATAGGTTAGCCTGGTGATGGGTATTAAAGAGGGCACGTTCTGCATGGAGCACTAGGTGTTATATGTAAACAATGAATCATGGAACACTACATCAAAAACTAATGATGTAATGTATGGTGATTAACATAACATAAAAAAAAAGAATGGACATGACTGGATTGGAGGCACTGACTAATTAAAGAAAGAGACAGAGGGGGTTAGTTAATCCTGGAAACAAAAGGAAAGAAGACGTTCAGATGCAAACTTGGGCAGTATCCATTCCAGAGCCATGAATGGGGAAAGGATTCTAGTGGCAGGTTTATTTCTGAGAGCAAATGAATTGGGTCTGCTTAATTTTGTGTTTCTGATATATAATGACATCTGATTCTGTCTACACTTGCAAATACCTTGATTATCATCTGGCTTGCCAAATAGCTTACCAATAAGGAAAGAAAATGCTGGTCATACAATATAAGGATCTGATCCCCATAGCAGTTGTTTCTCCTTGTAGATTACTAAATTGCCATTCCAATTTAAAATCTCACATGCTTGGGACTCTTGCTACAAGACAAATCCAATCAGTATTTTGATAAATTAGACTTTTCTGAATTTAGGACTCTAAGGGAAAGTCAAAGGGAAAGAGAAAAACATGTATTAGTGAATAACTGAGAAGGAAAGCTAATCCTTGGGCTAAGTTCTATGGGCCTGATTGTGGTGGTGGTGGGAGCAAAAGAGCCTTCAGCGTAGAGGTTTGGGGAAGTGAGAACAGAAGAGGTGTGCCTTACTTTTGGGAGGAAGCCAGAGAGGAGAAATTATCAAAGTTCCCAAGGATCAGTCCGGCACAGGGAAAGGAATGAGTTATCTCAGCAGAGACTCTGGTGCCCATCCAGGCATGGAAGTAATTGATCCCGGAGCCCCTAAGAGGGACATGAAAGTAGCTAAGAGAAAGTCAGGAGGCCTGAGAAAGCTTCGTGGTCAGGATGATGAAAACACAGCAGTGACCTGTGTTGACGGATGACCAGAGACCAGATGGGGCTATAAAAAGATACATGAGAATAAGGATGTTCCTGGCCTCTGCCTATGCACTGCATTAACTCAGCCCCCTGTCAACATCCTCATCCTTCAGCCACTCAGACATAAGCCTACCAAAATGAAAGCTCAAACTGAAATCAAGCTCAGTTAAAAAATAAATAAAATTGGACTTCCTGAACACCTGAGTTTGTGGTTTGACATCTGAACAGTCTGGAAATTAACCATCACTGTTCTCAATATACTTTCAAGAGGAAGAAAGAGGACTAACAGAGCAGTCTCCTAATGTCTTATTGCCTAAGAAAACTGCATAATCATGATATTGTCTCTGCATCACAGCTAAGATATTACCCAAACTTCGCAGAGTTTTAGGTTTAGTCTAAAAATCCAAAATAAACATCATCTTGAATTGTCTTTTAAAACTTCCATAATACTGAATCCTGTTTTTTCCCATGTTATGTTATATAACACGGTTTATAGCTCAAACATATTTCAACTCATTATAAGATTCTGACAACTTACGGAATGTCCATTCTGAATGAGACTGCCAGACACTAAATAGGTGACATGCAGTTGGGCTCCCGAATTCTCCTTTCGCTTTCTTTCAACATAATCGTACAGCATCCTGTTCCAAACAAAAGGTACAAGTCATTATTTGTAAGAGTTTTTACCTCATCAACTCTTAATTCATGACTTAAAAGTTAGATATATTAAATCTGACAGTCTATCAGTTTTTTTTACGGGATATTTTGCTCCCATGGGCAGAAAGTTAAAAAAAAGACAGACTTTAGACAGGACATACAGGTTGGGGTCAACTTGTACTGAGTTGGCACAGTGACCAAACTGAAATAAATCTAATAATAAGCCAAGAGGGACTGAACCTGCTTTAAAACAGTGGCAATAACATACAATGGATACAACGAGTCAAGAAAAAGTTCAGTCACTATGTGATCCTGGATAAGTTAATTAAGTTTTCTAGGCCTCTTAATCCTGAGGTATAAAACCAGGAGGCTGTATTGGATCAGTGATTCTCTTAACCTGGGATTCATATGGCCATTTATAATCCTCCACTCCCCAAAATGCAAGCAAAATGCACATGTGTTTTTTGCGGGGAGACAGTTCAGGGTTTTCAACAGATTCTCAGAGGGATTACTCTAAAACATTAAGAACCACTATGTAGATGATTATTAAGTGTTTAGTTCTGAAACTCCAATTTTGTGTTCACTCAGACTCAGTGCTGTTTCAGAACTGCAGAATGTAACAACTTACTCACATTGCCCAGTATTCGGAATATTCGTTAACCTGAAATTGCCACTCAATGTAGAAATAATGTTGCTTTTAGTAACATCCCTACATTCATTTTTACCCTTATGTTCCAGCAAGCATCAGAAGTTGGCTTCCTGTAACAACCTACAGTTTAAGGAAATAGTTTAACAAAAATAACAAAAGAGATGCTTCATCTGTGTCTTTTATGTCAAGAAACATTTACTGAGTCTCTGACATGTTATACTTCTGCCAAGGATAGCTAAAAACTCAAAACTTCCAAGGGAAACTCAACCTACACTGTTAACCACTCTTCTTGAGGTATCTGCTCTCTTAGCTTCCATGATCCCATGCCCCACTGAGTCTCCTGGGGAGACTGGGGCAGTCTCCAACTGCCTCTGCCCCATTTCCTGCACAGACTTGACTACCTCCTCCTTTTCCATACTGCTGGAGTTCTGTTGTCAGCTATCTTTTTAAATTTATAGAGTGACCAGTCATCTAGGTGTGCCTGGATCTGGGGGGTTTCCTGAGACGTGGACTTTTAGTGCTAAAACCAACAGTCCTGGGGCACCTGGGTGGCTCAGTTGGTTAAGCGACTGCCTTCGGCTCAGGTCATGATCCTGGAGTCCCAGGATTGAGTCCCGCATCAGGCTCCCCGCTCAGGGGGGAGTCTGCTTCTGCCTCTGAACCTCTCTCCTCTCGTGTTCTCTCTCTCTCAGATAAATAAATAAAATCTTTAAAAAACAAAAAACAAAAAACAAACAAAAAAAACCAACAGTCCTAGGCATACCAGGATGGTTGGTCACCTTACTATCTATTCTCCTTTTGGTTTCATTCATCCCCATGGTTTCATTTATTCCTGTCAACAACATCATTGGCTCAAACCACACGCACATGAAATCTGGGAGTCATTATCCTTCATTTCTCCCTATCCAGTGAGTTGGCAAATCTCATTACTTCTTCCTCCCAAGTAATTCTTGACTCCATGCCCCAAATCTCTTAACTGGACTGTTTCAATTTCAAGTGTCACTTCTGCCCCGCCCCTTTCCCATTCATTATCCACAAGGCCACCACCATGAAGTTTTAAAAATGTAAATCAAGTCATTTGGTCAACAAAATTTTACTTTATGTTTTATGTCTTGAGGATAGAGCAGTAAACAAAGGAGTCAAAATTCCTACCATTATAGAAAAGAGAAACAAACAATAAAGAAACAAATGAGTATATATATGTCAGACAGTAGTAAATCTATGGAAAGAAAAAAAGGTAAGGAGAATAGAAAGTACATGAGAAGTTTTGCTATTTTTTTTTTTTAAAGATGTTATTTATTTATTTATTTGACAGAGAGAGACACAGTGAGAGAGGGAACACAAGCAGGGGGAGTGGGAGAGGGAGAAGCAGGCTTCCTGCAGAGCAGGGTGCCCGCTGCGGAACTCGATCTCAGGACCCTGGGATCATGACCTGAGCCGAAGGCAGACGCTCAACCGACTGAGCCACTCAGGCGCCCAAGTTTTGCTATTTTATATAAGGTGATTAGGGAAGGCTTCATGAGCAGAGCCCTGTAGGAAGTGAGGGAGCCACCAATGCGGATATCCTGGGGAAGAATGTTCCAGGCAGAGAGGACAGGAATGTAAAGGTTCTGAGGCAAAAATGTAAATAAGCAAGGTCCAAGGAACAGAAAAGAGACAAGTGCAGAGGAAGAAGAGTGGTAGGGGAGAGAGAGCCAAGTGCCAGATATGCAGGTCTTTATGGCTTCAAGCAAGGAAGTCTCTATGGACTTCAAACAAGGAAGTCATCAGAAGGTTTAGAACAGAAATAAGATGATCTCACCTTTTAGAAGGATTCCTACTGCAGTGTGGAGAATATACTGTTGAGGGGCATGAGAGGAAAGAGGGAGACTAGTTAGGAGCCTACTGCAGTAATCTGGGCTAGAGATGATGGTAGCTCAGACAAGGATGTTAACAACAGAGGTAGCAATTAGTGGATGAATTCTGGGTATATTTCAAAGGGAGAAACAACAGAATTTGCTGGTGGACTGATTTTGAGGTACGAGAGAAAGAGGAGTCAAGGACGATTGGACTAAGCAACTCAAAGAATGAAGTTGTCATTCACTGAGATGGAGAAAAGCAGGTGCTTGAGGAGAAATTAGGAGTTAGGTTTTGAGGCATGTTAAGTCTGAGATGCCTATTGGTAAGTGATGTTGAAAGGTAGTTGGAATTATTCTCTGAATATCCTTGTTCCAAAGTTTTCAGTCTTTCCCTATCTCCTAAGGATTGACTCCAACACCCTAGCAATGACATGTACAACTCTTCTTGTTCTGGCCCCTATTAGCTCTCACCATTCTCCCACATTCACACCATTTTCAGTCTTAGGAAACATTCTACATTTCCCCTTGCTCCTTTGTATGCCCTTTCTTCTGCCTACAATGCTCTTCTCAGACCTCATCTACCTAACTCCTCCTCAAGACAACAGCTCATGTGTGAAGCCTTCCCCAACACCACCAGGCTAGCAGGGCACCCCTGCCTTCTAAGTTCTAACCAAAACTATACCATACCTGTTATAGCCCTTATCACATTGTATTCTAACTACTTAGTTATATATCTGCCTCCCCATTGGACTATAAGCTAGCTCCTTGAGGACAAAAATGTGCCCTATTCAGTATTCTTATTGATTCTTCTATCTTGTCCTCTTTAGTGTTTCCTTCCATGTAGCAATTATGCTAGGAAAGATGAGGTAATGCAGATCCATGAACATTTTAGCTTATCTATGGTAGTTAGGATCATGTTAGGAGAAGAAATGATAGGCAGGGGCCATGACCAAGATGCTCTCAAGCTTGCTGGCTAAATGCATTCTCTTTTGTCTACAACTTGTAGTCTTATCTCTATCATCACAGCCATTGTCCTCTATGCACTTGTCTCCCCAAATCAACCCAAGTTCTCTTTTATATTAACAAGGTCAAAACTGCACAAACTTTTTAAAAAATAATTTCCTGGGGTGCTTGGCTGGCTCAGTCAGTAGAGCATGCAATGGTTGATCTCGGGGTTGTAAGTTTGAGCCCCATGCTGGGTGTAGAGATTACTTAAAAATAAAATCTTTAAAAAATAATAATAATAATAATTTCTGTATATCTTTTGAGTCTCTAAAATATGTTTATCTAATTGAATTACACCATTTTATCTTTACTGACAAAATATGCAAAATATTCTTAAATATCAAATGACAACAAATGACTTCTTATAAGAGGCACTTCCAACACACGATTAACTATATTTCTCATTTTAATTTGTTAATTTTCCCTGATCAGTTCCACCCATAATTTTCCCTAGGATGAATACAGTGTATAGTCTATACTGTCTTCCCTAACCTATTTTAATTCCTTCACAGCATTTTTACAACCTGAATTTATCTTGTTTAAATCAATGATGAGAAATATCTAGTCTGTCAGGTTTACTGTTTTATGACACAGTCTAAAATAATGCTAAAAATAAGAAATGAAAAAATACTTCTTTAACAAATCCAGTCAAATCAATAACAACCATGCCCAGTCACTGCCCTCAGTGCCACCAATGATACTTAAAATGCTTTCACTATAGATAAAATTTTAAAAAGATGACAGGACACTTAAGTCTCAATTTTCTCAACTGTTAAAAGAAGTTGGTAACACCCATCATATTGGACTGTTAAAAGATTATGGGAGATAAGTATTTGTGAAAATATCTACCATAGTGTTTAGTACTCACTCAACAAATATTTATTGGCGCCTATTATGAGCCAGGCACTGAAGATACAATGATTGTGGCATACTGTATTTTCCAAAGATGGCTACGACAACATCTCCCATCCCACATGCTCTTCTACATTCTCCCATAGGGAGGTGGAGTCCATCCCCCGCCCCTTGAACGTGGGAGAGCTAGTGATTCATTTTAACCAAAAGAATGAAGCAGACATGACACTGCTTGACTTCTGACACTAGTTGGAAAAGGCAATCAGCTTCTGCCTTGCTCTGGAACACTAGCTTTTGGAGTCCAGAGCTGCTGTGTAAGAAGTCCAACCACCTGGAGACACCATGCCCTGACAAAGCCCAGGCCATATAGAAAGACATACGCAATGTCTGATCTACAGCCCCAGCTGAAGTCCCAGCAGATGGCCAGCATCAACTGCCAGATATTTGTATAAAGATGCCCACAGGGGCGCCTGGCTGGCTCAGTCGGTTAAGCGGCTGCCTTGGCTCAGGTCATGATCCCAGGGTCCTGGGATAGAGCCCCACCTTGGGCCCCTTGTTCATTGGGGAGCCTGCTTCTCCCCTGCCTGCCGCTCCCCCTGCTTGTGCTTGCTCTCTCCCTCTATATCAACTAAAAAAAAAAAAAGATGCCCACAGATGATTAGGTCCCTGCCATTGAGGCTTCCCAGCTGAAGCACCAGACATTATGGAGCAGAGATAAACCATTCTCACTGTGCCCCGCCCAAATTCCAAACCAAAAGAATCTATGAACATAATAAAATGGTTGTTTCAAGCTGCTAAATTTTGGGATAATTTGTTTCATAGCAATAGTAATTGGAAAAGTGATCAACGTGATAAGAGTGTAACCCATCTTCATGGAGTTTATATTCTAGTGAAGGCGGGCAGCCCTAGAAAATGTCAGATGGTAATAATTATAAAATTCTGGATCAACTGGATATCCACATGCAAAGAAATGAAACTGGACCTTTCCTTACACCATATACAAAATGATTCCTGGAAGAAATAGTGCCTCTTTACATATTTTAGGGCTTAATTTAAAATTAGCTTGAGTTGGGGCAGCCAGGTGGCTCAGTTAAGTGTCCAGCTCTTGATTTCGTCTCAGGTCATGATCTCAGGGGTGTGGGATTGAGCCCCGCGCTGGGCTCTGCACTAGGCGTGGAGCCTGCTTGAGATACTCTCTCCCCCTCTTCCTTTGCCCCTCTACCCATCCCTCCCTAAAAAAATGAAAAATAAAAATAAAATAAAATTGGCTTCAGCCAACACCTAATTTGAAAACTACAGTGTATTCTTGTGAGGTCTGAAGTATTTTTAAGATGTTAACAAGCACATGATACCAAGTAGAAACCTTGAATATAGTGATAATTACTGTTGTAAGAGCTAAAACTACAAAACTCTTAGAATAAAACATAGAAGTAAATGTTCATGACCTTAGGTTGAGCAAAGCCTTCTTAGATAATATATACAAAGCACAAGCAACAAAAGATAAAAGAAACAGGGGCGCCTGGCTGGCTCAATAGGTAGAGCATGTGATTCTTGACCTTGGGGTTGTGAGCTCAAGCCCCACATTGGGCATAGAGCTTACTTAAAAAAGATAAAGGAAATAAATTGGGCTTCATCAACAATAAAAACTTTGGTGCTTCAAAAAGTACCATCAAGAAAGTGCAAAGACAACCCACAGAATAGGATAAAATTCTTGCAAATCATATATCTGATCACATGCTCACTTCGGCAGCACATACGTATTTGATCAGGGTCTTGTATCCATAGTCTTTACAACTTAACAATAAGAAGACAACCCAGTGAAAAAATAGACAAAGGATCTGAACAGGTATAGATAAACAAACAGCTAATAAGCACATGAAAAGATGATCAACATCATTGGTCATTATGGAAATGCAAATCAAATCAAAACCATAATATCACTTCATACCCACTAGGAGATGGCTAAAATAAAGGCAGATGATAAAGAGCTGGCAAGAATGTGGAGAAATTGGAACCCCCATACCTTACGGGTGGGATTTTAAATTAGTGCAGCCACTTTAAAAAACAGCTTGGCAGTTCCTCAAAATGTTATATATGACCCAGAAATAGGTATATATCCGAGAACTGAATACATATGTCCACATAAGAACTTGTATACAAATGTTCATAGTAGCATTATTCGTAATACCCAAAATGTGGAAACAACCCAAAGGTCCATCAATAGATGATGATAAATAAAATATACTATTTAAGTATGTTATGGGTTGAATTGTGTCCCTGTTCTCCCCCTCTTCCGCCCCACAAAAAGGTATGTTGAAGTCCTAACCACCAGTGCCTCAGAGTGTGACCTTCCTTGGAAAGAGGATCTTTGCAGACGTAATTAGTTAAGATGAGGTCATACTGGAGTAGGGTGGGCTCCTAAGCCAATATGACTGGTATCCTTATATGATAGCCAGGTGAAGATATGGCACACAGGAAGAATGCCATGTGACAAGAAACCAGACACTAGGGTTATGCAGCTGTAAGCCAAAGAATGCCAAAGACTGCCAGCAAACCACCAGAATCTATATTCTATAAAAATTACAGGTAATCAAGGTAAACTACAATAAAATTACAGGCAACTTTATTTCATCCCCAGCCCTCAATATGCACCTTTAAGCCCCAACAGGCTTATATAATAATAGTTATTTCATAAACATCTGTAACCATAACAATTAGGCTTATATAGGTCCATTCTGAAAGTTACCTGAAACTCTTGGGTTCGGGTCAGCACTGGTATTAGCAACAGAAATCTCAGATAGTCAAAATCAGTCCAAATTCATCCCTAGGCCAAGAGTTTCAGGTCTTGAACGCATGAACATCACAGTCAAAACCAGATTCTAGGTCTGTCAAACAGCAGTCCACATAAAGCCAAATGAACCGATTCTAGATAATCAGGAATTTTCTAAGACACATGGAACATTCCCTGACTCAAAGAAAACTCCCATGACTCAAAGAATGGGGAAAAATCAGACCATTTTTAGGAATAAAGTGAACTAAATGGGTATTTAACTTAATATATGTGCCCTCAGCCTGTTCACCAATTCCTCCCCTTGGGACGGAGACAACATCTTTAAGAAATTCTGAAGTTAATTCAAAAGCTTGCCTTTTCCCTTTTGGCCTCAAGTTGCACTACAAGTTTCAGCAAGCAAAGGTTGTACAGCAAAGTTCAAGAAGGGCAATGCTCTGTGCCATCCTGAACACTCCCTTTTTATTTTCACTTAAATAGTTCTCCCCAGTTTTATACTCTCACACAGCTTGTGTCAAACACCTGCTGACCTCATTATGAAGATACTTCAGTAACACCCAGATGTGGGCCTAAGGAACACATATGAAAATGTAACAAAGATATAAGATAACAGGTATATAAAACCTGAGATGTAAACAGAATTGGCTAGCCCACTTAATAAATTTGAAATAACAAAGTGATGTTAACCAGAAGCCAACGCTACAAATAAATCCAGTAAATGTATCACCACACATTTGTATATAAGTCCACCTATCTCCTAAATAATAGACAAATCTAGTATACCATAGTAAAAATAGTGTTCTTTCCTATTTTCCAAGGGAAGAAAAAATCTCTAACTTCCAGGCTATCTGTAAAGCTTAAAACAAAGCAAAACAAAAAACAAACAAAACAAGCAACTCCAATGTGAGTAAAATTAGTAGTAAATTGGACTTACTGTTTGGCCTGGTTAACATGAACTCCTAGTGTATAGCTCAGCCATTTGTATGTCACCTGTAAGAAGAGGAATTGTTTTTTTAACATCAGACGATTCCAGAGTGTAGGTCAGTCCTAAGGGCTCCTAAAGATTCCCACTCTTAGATGATTATGCCTTATAAATTACAGTAGATGCCACCCTAGTTTTGCCAAGAACCATCCATCTGGGCAGGTACGACTGAGATCTTTATCTTACAAATACTAAAAAGGCTAATTAACGGGAGAGTCGAAAGAGAAAGGCTGATTATACAAAGAAAAAGCTCTCATTTTTCCTCACATTCTTTGTTTTACTAGTGCCCTTTTCACATTGTGTCCTTTTTTGTGGCCACCACTGGTAACTATTAAAACTCATCCAAAAGCTAGATTACTTTGAAGTGTATGACTCATAAACTTCTAAGAAAAGTTGCAGCCATACAAACATTAACAGGCACAGGTGGTGCAGGGGCAAGGGAATGAAAGAAGTGGATGACTACTGTATCTGCAGTTAGATTGGAATCCACTGGCATCAAGCCTTGATCTTCCGTCCATCCTTCCTTGGGCTCTCCTGTCATTTGTCACTTCTTTGTATGCTCCTCATCTCCTGAAGTCTTCCAATTCTAAATGCTGAGTTTCCAATAATTAAGACTTACACAGGCGAGGCAAAGCATTAGCAAAAGAGACTAACCTAGGTTGGAAAACTGCCTATCCCTTATTAACCAAAAATAAGTAAGTTATTTGGCCCCTCTGCTTCAACTTTCTTTTTTAGGGATACTTCCACGGCCCTCTGGGTGGGTCGCTGTAACCATTAAAGGTAATAATGCATATCCCAAGCTCACAGTAGGCACTCAGTTATCACGGTTTGCAAAGTCCATTCACATTCATCGTCTCACTGGATCTTTCATTCCAACCCTGGGAAGCAGGTCAAGGCTATGAATACCAAACTTCCTAGAGGAGGAAACCGACTGTTGTAAGGTTAAACAAGTGGTCACCTAACCCAATTAAGGTACAATTTCCTCAACAGAAAACGTGGGACTTGAAACTCCAACCACCTTATCAGATAGGTGTAGAAACGCCTTAGAATTTTTATCTACCAGTACCCTTCCCTCCACGCCTCTCCTTCTTGACCCCTGCTCCTTGCCAGTGCCCAGCACGCCCACCCAAGGCACGCGGACTTGCGCGCGCGCCAAAGAAATCCCCCCCGCGAGTCCTCGCTCGCCCTGGGGCACGAGACGTGGGGACTTGTCTCCCCTCGGCCAGTCCCCAACAGGCCAAGCGCAGAGGGGTCAAGGCCCCCGCCACCCTCGCCGGGCCCAGGACTCTAGTCGCAGGCCCACATTCCCCAGTCCTAGATCCTCACGATCTTGTTCTGGTCCGTGACGAACTCGTCTATATTTTCCAGATAAAGCTGGTCCGCCATGGTGCTGCGGAGCTATGAGCCCCGCCACCACAACCGCAGCTCCCGCCGGCGGGAAACGTCTTTCCTCTCTCCCGGGTCCCGGGTCGTTTCCCACAGCAACGGAGGCGACGCGCTACGGCGGCCGCCCGAGGGTCAAACTAGTCTCGGAGACGGCGCAGACTCAAGTAGGCGGAGCTAGTAGGTAGGAGAGGACGGAAGTGAGGAGCTAGGTTCGTGAGCGTGATCTGGAGGGGGTGTTTTTGGAACCAGTGTTTCACTGCTACAACCTAATGATTAACCCAGGGCAAAAGACCTCATCTGTAGGAGCCACAACCTTACCACCTGTAAATTGATAAAATAATCCTTGCCCTTTCATACCTTTATTCAACAAAGGTTTATCAAGTACCTAGTCCAGGTACTGGGGACACAGCTGTGAATGATAAAGACAGAAGTAAACCAGTAATTTTAGTAGAGTGACGGCAGCTGGGATAAAGTGCAGCTTGTTATAATTCCTCAGAATTGAGAAATTACGGATGGTTTTCCAGAAGGGATGGGCAAAGAGAAATGTTTCAGATAGAGGCAGGGGCATTTGCTGGGAAGAAAAAAAGAGTTCGTTGTAGCTAAAATGTTGGGAGAAGAGTCCACTGAAGGGAGGTGAGACGGGAGAAGGTAATTCATGCTGCACCTATGAGGTTGTGTGAAGGGGCACAAGAACTTTATTCTCAGGAAAAGGTTTCAGGTTGGGGAATTTCAACTAAAATTTCTCCTAACATCAGCTAAAGTACCCATAATAATTGATTTCAGCATAAGCCAGTGTAGTTCAGTAGGGCACCATGGTGGAAAATGGAGCAAGCTCTAGAGTTAGACCCTGGATTTGAATCCTGGTTTTGATCATTGTTGTGTGACCTTAAGTAAGTTATTTAACCACTGCAAGCCTGTTACCCTATCTATAATACAGAAATAATAATAGTACCCACTTAAAACTTTTGTTGCAACATGTACTCATTCACAACAGCAGAAAACTACTAAGGGCCCGGCACTGTTCTGGGTGCCGGGGATATAGCCATGATTAATAATACACAAGAGCTTGCTCACATGTAGCTTACATTCTCATAAAGATATTTGAGGGATGGTAATAGCTTAAAATAGGATAGCGGTAGTGGAAATTGAGAGAACTGAGTGACTTAGGTTTTCTTTTTAGAGTCAGCAAAACCTGCCGATGAATTAGATGAATAGAATGTAGGAAATACAGGAATGAAGGAAAATACCTAGATTTGGAATCTAAATCTTTAGGTAAATTGTGATGCATTTGACTACTGAGCTGTGGAAGCCAGAGAGAGCAGATGAGAAAATCAAAGAATTCTATTTGGCCGTAGTTGTAATTGAGAAAACATATATAAAACCCTCATATCATGCATGCACACAATAAAATCAATAACAGTTGGGTTATATTACTATACACCAGGCACACTGTACTAGGTGCTTTGAGAGTGAGATGTCATTTAATTCCTATAGCAACCCTGCAAATGGACTGTGTTTGTCTATATTTTATAGACTAGATTGCTGCGGTTTAAGAGAGGAGAGATGGATTTTCCAGGCCACAGGGTTGAGTAGTAGTACTGGGAATGGAATTCAAGTTTCTTGTCATTGTTCCACAGGGATGGGAAGTAAGTCAAGATAATTGGCCAAAGAATATTGACACTACCCCCCCCACCAAAGGGAGCAGATGATAATACTGTATAGGATACCTGCCCCAGCATGGCCCCAGATATACCAATATTAAAAAGTTGCATGACTTTTAGAAGCCAGATTAGAAGTTAACCTAGGGAGGCCTACCCAGCTTGAACATTCCTACCTCAGGGGAGAGGAGCTGAATGGAACACATGTGGGCTTTAGAAATCTATTTTTCTTTTAAAAAGCAAGCAAACAAACAAAAACCTGGGCTTGAATCCCAGCTTTACCACTTCCTAGCTGTGTGGCCTTAGGCAAATCACTTAACTTCTCTAGTCCTCCATTTCATGAGCTTTAAAAGAAGGGACAATAAAACACAGTGGTATACTAATAAATGTTTAACAATCAAATGTAAAAAGCCCTGATTTGTAGTGGTTGACAGCATCTGTGGTGTATATACTTCCATCACGGCAGATTTCAAGTTCTGATATTGATGTCACTAAACACAGAGTTAGGTAGAGACACACAATATCACACCAGTACTTCCACAATACATGTAGAATAAACAAATAACCTCAAGAGCATATATGGCAGTAAAATGTAGTAAAATAATTAGGAAGTGATGATATTTGGATATTTGTTGTCTTTGTTTTTAATATGATTTAATTGTAAATTTATATAATTTAATTTTTAGCAACGGCTCTCATGAAGAATTAATAAAAGGAAACCTAGTTTGGAATAGACTTGGGGGGTCACTAAGGGGAGCTCTCAAGCCCTACCATTCTTTGTCAATTGCAGACCCAACAGGGCATGTTCTGTGCCTGGGGCATTAGCAATGTAAAATTAACGCATCTTATTCCAGGCATCTATAACATTTTCCGTATTTGAAATGTAACTGGCAAATCTCCAAAAGGGAAAGGTATCACCATTTCTACCTCTACCTTAATGCTGCTGCTTAAAAAAAAAAAAAAAGAAGGACAATTCAGTCCCTGTTCCTTAAAGATGAAGCTTCACATCAATGTCAAAAACAAGAACAGTTCTCCAGGAATCAGAACAACCAACCAAAGTATTTCCTAAGCAAATGAGGCCAGACAAAACTTGGGGATGGTAGTGTCAGCTGATCCAGAAGTGGGAGCCATAGGATCAAGATCCTTCACCTTCATGCTTCAAAAGACGTTGATGTTAGAAATAGAAGACTGACCCTCCTATTTCCTCCTTTTCATTCCCACTTCATCCCAGAAATGATTGGCATCAGAAAATATAATGATTGTGACAGGGTATCGGATGGGAAATCTAGACTGGACCCAATATGGGGGAGAAAATGAGGAGTGGTCAACCTATATGCAGGCAGAACCCCCAGACTGAGAGTAGGGGAAAGAGGCCAAGCCTCTGACCAGGAAAGGGGGCCTGTGGGAGCAGCTCAGGAGCCCTACCCAGTTAGCTGGGATACAGGGCTGCCACAAGTCTCTGGGGGATAGCATTTCAGGAAGGAGAACAGGTCAGAAGGAATCCAAGACTAAGAATTATGATTTAGGGGCCACATAACTGTCCATGGGTCATTCCAGAGTCCTGGAGACCCAGAACTTATTAACACCAAGGTATTTAGCATTAGATCATTCATCAAGTATTATTCAAGGCCTCCTGTCTATTGGGCCCTGTGTGACTGTTGGGAACACAGCATGGTCTTCATCTCTGGGAGTTTAGTCTGTGGGGAGTAAACAGCTGCCCTGTGAGGGAAGCACAGGTTGCCAAGGAAACCTGGCAAAGGCAACTAACTCAACTTGGGGATCAGAAGAAATGTGGGGAAAACTGGATTTAGGTATCCAGGACTAGATGGCATATATCCTTTCACTTTAGGTGAAATATATAACAAATGAAATCGGAGTGCTGTCATTGTTACAGCTTCTAACATGCACAACAATCTGATATAAAAAGAGCTATTTTATGAGAACATGTGGTACCTTGTGCAGACTGTCTTGTGGAATGTACAGCTATCAAGGCCAGGACACATCAACCTTCTTGACAGCTGGGGAGGCAAGAGCCCAGGGAAGGCTAAAATAACATGCTGTTCTAACACACCTTATCAGTTCTATAAAAGTCAATGTAAAACCCCTCAGTTACCAAAACAAAGTGGGTGAGCCAAGAGGGCACTCAGACACTGGTTCCCCTGTTTCCCACCCACTGCCACCCCACCACACACACACACCCCCAGCCCACGCTTGCACCTCAGCCTGTTTATTTCTCAGCTCAATCACCAAAAGGTTCACGTCGCTACCTTTGTTGCCTCAGTCACACAGAAAAAGAGCAGGAAGATCCCCTCCACACACTCCCATCTTGCAATTGCTTTGTATATTATTTTCCTTTCCCCATCCCCTTGGGGGCTGGAAGGGTGCTTTGGAGGAGTGTGTGTCCATATTTTTGCTGTAAACATCTTTGCTGCAAGCATTTTGGCCACATAAAAAGGCAATTTTGCCATAAAAGATAAAATCACGAAAAATAAAAGAGGGACATTCATTAAAAAGGACATAATTAAAAATGAATAACAAAATTAAAAAGACCTTATGGCAAAATACGAAATATTTGAATACACTCAAAATGTATAATGTAGATTCATGTCAGTACTGCGTAAATAACTTATTTTATTTTGTGGATTATACCTAAGCATTTGTCTTCAAAGTCTTTCATTCACAGTATTATACTTTTTTTTTTTTGCTTGTTGATTCATCTCACTGGACATCAAACGTTTTTTGCTAAAATTTCTTCCTTCATGAAGAGAAGTATCCGTTTCCGAAGAGTAGGATGCATATCTGTAATTGAACTTTGTATGGCCGTTGTGAAAGCCTTCTACACTGTTGTTTGTTCTTGGCATATTGCCACATGTCCATTGATAGACATTACAAAATTCTATGGGAAATGTGGGTTCAAACCCCTGTGCCACTGTATAGACCATTATGAGGGCTAAGATTCATTTAATGTAAAAATGGGAGTACTGCATTAATGGAGAAATGAAACCAAATTCAACCAGTGGATGAAACCAACAGACTGTCAAAACAACCAACGAGTTACTTTTTTCTTTTGTGGCAATATTGCCTTACAGCCAATCAGTTACGTGACAAAGATGCTTATGGCAAAATTACCTACAACCAGAGGGGTGATGGTAAAAGTAAAGATAATTAGAAATTGGTTATGGGAAGTTTTGTCCTAAGTGCATCATTTCTGAATTATTAAATTGGGGGTGGGAAGGGGGCAGTGAGGGAGGCTTGGCATTCAGGGCTAGAAAGAAACATGATCCTTCTCTAGAGACCATTGCTCTCTGGCCCCCAGCACTGCTGGTTGGGAAGACTTCCTGAGGAATTGTCATGTGACCTCAGCTTTGGTATGGAGTAAAGGAGGGGCAAAGGCCATTCTAGACCCAGAAGATGTAGTAGCTGCTCTCTTTGCCTCCTTGTCTCTC